TTAATTCTTCTTATGAATCACTAGATCACGTGATCTTATGAGAAGGGTGTGCCTGAGTCCAGTCCTCTCACTGCAAATAGTAGAGGAACAGAGATCTGAGCTCTCCTACTCTGAGGTACCAAGCACCACAACTGGCCTTCCCCACTGGATTAGAAGACAAAAATAGCTTTTCTGGGAGCCTCCCTGGTGGCGCAAGGGGCTAAGCACCACGCTATGAAGCAATCCCAGCTTCTGCAGCACGAGTTCGATTCCCGGCTGGCCAGGGATCAACCCACATGGCACGGCAGACCTCTCCTATCTCACCCACTGCTCTCCTTAGCAGTGTACTTTGGTCAATCTGCCTGTTCTGTTCCCCACTGTCTCTGGTGAGTCCTCTCACCGCCCCCAACGCTGGTCTGTACCCCAGCTCTTGCATGCAATAAACAAATCTTTAAAAAAAAAAAAAAACCTGAAAACAAACCATCTACTAGAGGAATCTGGGGGAAAAGTTGCTCCCAGCCGGCCAGGGAGCAACCCACATGGCGCAGCAGACCTCTCCTGACTCGCCCGCTGCTCCCCTCAGCAGTGTACTTCAGTCAATCTGCTTGTTCTGTTCCCCACCCTGTCTCTGGTGAATCCTCTCACCCCCCACATTTCTGGCCTATACCCCAGCTCCTGTATACATAAATTAATCTTAAAAAAAAATAGCTTTTCTGCAGTAACATCCACAGGGAAAACCCTGTCAAAAGCACATTTGAGTATCTTCGGTGGAAGAGTTAGTGGATGCAGACAAGGGCCAGAGCCCAGAGAGTGGAAAAGGTGTTGAGAGAAGGCACATGCTAGAATCAGGCTCACGCAGTGAGGTGTCTGTATACAGCCTTCACCGACCTGCCTGGTGCATAAGTGGTGATTTAGGCCGCCTGAGAGACACTAATTGACTGAGGCCCACACAGCAGAGCAAGAAGATGAAGGGAAAAGGTCACAGGTACTTATGTTTATTGAGCACCTACGATGAGGATGTGGCTGAGTAAGAAAGGAAGGTTGGGGAGATCACGGGATGACTACAGTATAGCCTCATGTCATCACCCTAAATCACCAATCACTATGAACAGACAGACACACGCCAGGCCCTGGGATTCTGGGCAGATAGTTCTTGCCCTCAGTGGGCTCAGTCTACTTGGGAGGCGAGACTTACAGAAATGAGGTGAGGCACAGCAGCATATGCCTTGCCGAGTGGGTGCCAGTAAGTGTAAGGGGCCGAGGGAGGGATCACCATGGCCTGAATTGGAAGTCTCCAGGGAGAAATCTTGCCTCGAGTCCAAGTCGGAATGCGGGAAGGCACTTGAGTGGCAGCAGGGCACAGCAAAAAACACAGGTGGTGTGTTTAAGGGACCGTGACTTGCAGTTTATTATTTTTCTATCACTTTGTATTTCGGGGCCCATTCCCATCCATCACCTCAGGAAATGACTCTGTTGTCCTTCAGAAGCCCAGTTAAGTCCTGAAACAAATGGTCTTCAGTGAGGTCAATGGAATTAAATGAACTCCTACTATGTGTAAATCATTGTTAAGTATTGCAGGGTACACAGAAAAGTGTGAAATATAGTCCCTGCCTTCAAGGACAAAGAGGATTTTCCTTCTGTCAGATGTCCAGGGAAGGAGATTCGGCGATGACTTTGCAGCTCTAAAATGCTAAGTCTGAGAAAAGGAGGCAGGCACTGGGCAGCAGGGACAAATCTAAAGAAAACTGGGTTTGCCGTCCATCAAAAAGCTCCTTTTGGGGGGTGGCCCAAAAGGTCTTCTGATGATTCTGCAGTTGTCTGAGTTGTTACCTGTCAGCCTGGTGTCTTTCAAATTTCTCTCGCTCCTTCACTGTCACAGGAACTCCTCTGCAGCCAAACACCAGTTCAGAATCAGAAGCCAAAGTCACTGAAGATGCACCCATAACACCCCCCAAGTAACACCCCAATTAATGAGCAGCCACATACTCTGCAATTAATCCTGGAAAAGAAGAGGGTCCAGGACAAGAACGAAAGAAACAAAAATAGGGCAAAGCATGTGAGTAACTTCTACATTGGTCAATCTTGGGCAAAGGGAAGTCTAGAAATCTTTCCTTGGCCTGAGAGAAACAAAGCAGCCTTATCTCGGCCCTCGAAGTGCCAGCTGGGGCTGAGTGAGAAGAGGCAGGAGTTGAGCTGAAATACAAGCCATCCTGGGTGGTCTCACAGCCTGAAGCTGCGGCCGCAGTCCCGGTGGAGCAGGGACATTCAAAGCGGCCTGGGCAGGGTTGCTGCTCACATGACAGAACAGGCAGATCCTTGCCAGTCAAGTCACAAGAAGTGTGCAGGGAAATTAAGCAGAGAACCGGCTACTTGGGTCAGCCCTAGGGCATCAGACTGCAGATTCTAGGTGGCCAGCACTCACTGTGACATATTTGACCTCCAGCTTCCTCAGAGGACTCAAGGTCAAATACACATGGTGAGCAGGGGACCTCCAGAGCTTTGAAATTCTGAGCTCTGAATTTTGAGTTGGAAAACCTCTTTTTAAGGCAAAAAACACCACAGGGGGTTTGGAAGTATTTCGAAGAATGGATTCGAGTGCCCTCACTGTAACAGAGAAAGCTGTAGACCTTGTTTCAAGTGTTGAAGCATAAACCTGGCCACAGGCCAATTCTAGAGGAAGGGACAGTATATCCTGGATCAGAGCAGATTCTTTAACTACTAAGTTGCACTCCCAGCCCCCAGGAAACCACCCCCCCGCAACCCCACACACACACACAAAGCAGCAAAGGAATAGCCAACACACCTAAGAGCCTCTATTCGAAGGAACTGTCTCTGAGCAAGGCCACAGGGAAATACTACCAACACTTGATAGTTTTGACTCATGGTCTTCAGTGTAGTATTTTAACAGAAGTGTTTGTTAATGTTGTGCTTTAGCCAACCAGCTTCATGTTTAACTCGGGAAACTCCATCTCATAAGACATAGGCTCTGAAGTGAACACACTTGCTGCATCAATACCCGAGGCGAAAGTAAAAGAAGCTGCCCAGATAAACCCGAGGTGAGGGGCCCAGAGGACACGGTGTGAGGGAGCTGGCTGTTGAGAAAGTGTGTGATTCGTCCTACTACTTTTTTAAAGAACTAGGCAGAAACTTTCAAACAGTTAAATGTTTTAAACATCTTGAGTTGCTAAAGCTGTCAGAAGAAATATTTGGATCTAAGAAACTCTGGCAAGGCTAATGGACTGGATGCCGATTTTTAGCTATCCTAAATGTTAGGATATATTCCTGAATGTTAATTTGTAGATATTTGTATACTAGGGAAAAAGTGATGAGCAGGCAGACTTGATCCGGGGAAAACAGATGGGCTGGCAGGCAGGTTGTGGACTTTCTGTGTATGCCCTTAACGAGGATCTTCCTCTCTCCCCAGTGGTTACACCATCTGAGGCCAATGTGTTGCCAAGCTAGTGAAAGGACAATTCAAACTCCCCAGTCACTGTCTCAAGGTACCTCTGGGGATACAGCCTCCGTCCTTTACGTCCTTTACTTCTCTCCAACAGAAGGTTTAAATATTTTCATGGTCTCCCCTTTATTCCTCATTAAGGGCATTTCTGAGTGTGCATTCATTTTTCAAGACACCGCCATGAACTAGTGACAACCTGAGGTTGGCAATGATCCTGATGGAAGTATCATTTATGTTAGCACCAGACTGCTGGCAGGGAACAAGAACTTTGGGTTCTATTTCCAACTCTTTCTCTGGCCTACTGAGTACTGTTTCTTCTGTTGCCCCTTGTTTTTTTTTTCATTAAAAAAATATTTACTCGAGGGCCTCCCTGATGGCGCAAGGGGTTAAGACGCAACCTATAAAGCTGTCCGCAGCCACTGCAGCACAAGTTCGATCCCCGGCCAGGGAGCTACCCACATGGCACAGAAGACCTCTCCTAACTCACCCACAGCTCCCCTCAGCAGTGTATTTCAGTCAGTCTGCCTGTTCTGTTCCCCACTGTGTCTCTGGTGAATCCTCTCACCCCCCACACCTCTGGCCTGTACCCCAGCTCTTGTATGCATAAATAAATCTTTGAAAAAATATATTTACTTGATATCTACTATGTGCCAGGTTCAATGCTAGGTGCTGTATCTACAAGAATGAATAAGTGAAACTAAGTTCCTCTCATAAAGCATACATTTTAAGGGAAACAGACAATTTCAGGAACAAATGAGAGCTACAAAGAAAAGGGTGACAGAATTCAGGGGTAGGATAGAGGGGAGGAAAAGTCCTACTTTAGTCAAGGAAGAGCTCCAGAAGGGGTGACAGTTCGATGGAGATATGAGTGACAAGCAAAAGATCTGAGGGCAAAAATCTGCAGGTGGTAAAAAGTGCAAAGAACTGAAGGCAGGCCAGGCCTTCACCAGACCAAAGTGAAGGAAATTTAGAGGGTGAGGCAGGCCCAGGCGGCCCAAAGTAAAGGAAACGGAGGGGGAGGGGATAAAGTACAGGCAGGAGGGGTGCCGGGGCTTGGAGAACCTAGAGAATGCAGTGGTAAGGAGTTAAAATTTCAGTCGAAGAGACAAACCACAGGAAGGTTTAAAGCAGAATTGAAGCCATGTCATCCGCAGGGCAGGCGCAGGACCAAGTGTGTGAAGGACACTATGGAGAAGGATGTTTTTTCCAGACAGGGGCTTCAGCTCCTAAGGTGAGACATGAAGCACGTCTGCAGATCACCCTGGGGTCAAACATCAACCAGCTAACAGTACTTAGTGGTTTCCCTCGCCCAATCCCTTGGTCTAGAACCCCCTGGATGGTATCACAGGCTTGCTGATCTTCACTTAGACTGCGCCAGCAATGACCCTCTGACCGTTACAGTGAAGTTCCTTGTTCTGAGAGAAACTGATTCCCTGTGACGTCTACTCATCTGTCTCCAAATACCCAAGAACTCCCTTCTTAGGCAGATCAGTACCCATTTCCTTCAGTTACTCAACTGACTAACTTTTATTATTGGAAAACTTCAGACATCCACCAAAGCATCTCCACTTACCCAGGACCAGCTTCAACAAGTCAACTCATGATCAGTTTTGTTTCCATCTGACATTTTTAATTTCCTTCACCAACTTGGTCATGACACAGTCTCACAGGGGTGGCCTGGCCAACTCAAGACACCCCACCTCTATGAACACAACCCAACAGTCCTGTCACCCTTGGGGTGGCCATTTATTGCTTCGCAATATAAATTTGACTCAAGCTCTCCCACCAGAACTTGTGCAGGAGGGTTTTCAACATTTGTTCCCAATAATTCACATCTTACCAGGTTCAGTCTAGGCCTTCAGGCTGCCATGATTTTTGGCCCTTGACACTCTAATATTCATCATTCCTCCCAGCTTCCGTGACACCTTTAAACTTTTAAAAAGTAATTAAACCCATCTACTCTAAGATTAAAAAAGAAAAAATATCAATATAGATGAGTTAGAAAAAGAGCTGGAACAATCAGAAAACTTAAATTCCTTATTCTACACATGAGGACACTAAGGTCCAGAGAATCTGTGTCTGCTTCCAGGCTACCCACCAAGTAAAGGCCAGGCCTCATGCTCTCTCAGTATCACCCATTCCCTCTAAGTTCTCGAGACGGGACCCTCAATAAGAGGAAGTGCAGGTTCTCACCAGCCAGGTTGGCACAGGCCGCTGCAAACTGATCCCAGTCAAATACCCACAATCACCCACTTGTTCAGCAAACAATGATCAAGTGTCACTCTCTGCAGGCCCCACGGCCCCATGGCCCTCAGTTACTTTCCAGTTTCTCTTAACCTCAGATTACACTGGAAATCATTTTTCTCTGCTCTTAATAATTCTGCAGTATGAAGGAGTACCTAACAGAATTCATATTAGGGATATAAAAAATGTCCATAAATAAAAGATCTATATATATTAGAAATGAGATACAGTCTGTTAATCAAAAAGCCACAAAATATCTCATATACAGAAGACACAACAAAATGTACATCTTAAAAATTTGGCACTCAGGATGCTTTTTACAATGGGTTCCATTTGGGAAATAGAGTTAAAAATGGGAAATAATTAAAGACACAAGTTCACAAATAATCTGGATAATATGCAAGAAGCAATGACATTGTTTTGATGTTTCTCTTTGTGGTTAATTAACCACACACCAGGGAGGGATCAAAGTTCAGATGTGCACAGTACAGGGGGCCACCCGCCGTGTGGCATGCACTTGGGTTTCTTATCATACTGGTGGGGAGAAGGGAGCTTTACCAAGAAGCATACAGTCCAGCTTCTCACCAAGGCTGCTGGCATCAACTGTCAAACCATTTGCTCCTCTTTGCAAGAGGCGCTCCTTTAGAAGGTCCCAATAATTTTTGCTTATATTGTTCGACCAGTTGATTGAAGCGAACTTCTGTCTTATTTCCCTTTGCTTTTTTCCTAGGTACCTATTCATAAAAAGAAACATAAAATAATCAATTTTAAGCATTACCCTCAGGACACCAAAGAAAGAAAATAAGTAGATACAGAGATCTTGTCCACAAGAGGGGGGCTTCCAGAGTGGCCCTTAGAGAGAAAAACCCTCAGAGTTAACCGCTGATAAGGAACTATACCCGCAACGCCTGTGAGAAGAGCCTAGGACCTAACATGACACACTGCCCAGTGTTTCAGAGACCCCCTCGCCAGCTCCCAATGTTCAAATGCTCACATGACCCTCTCACAAGTGAGTAGCCAGAGTTTGGACATTAGCACTTGCTCTTTCCCCCACCAAGAATACTGCCTCTGGACCAGAGCTGAGCGCAGCGCACGCGTGTGATGGGGCCGAGACTTCCCAGAGACTGAGGATGGAGAGATAATGTTTCTTTTACCCTTACAAAAAGTAACTCAAGGGCCTTCCCAGTGGCGCAAGGGGTTAAGCACAGCACTGTGAAGCTGTCCGCAGCTCTGCTGCACAAGTACGATCCCCAGCCTGGCAAGGAACTGACCCACATGGCACAGCAGACCTCTCCTATCTCACCCACTGCTCCCCTCAGCAGTGTATTTCAGTAGATCCGCCTGTTCTGCTCCCCACTCTGTCTCTGGTGAATCCTCTCATCCCCCACACCTCTGTCCTATACCCCAGGTCTTGTATAAATAAATCTTAAAAAAAAAAAAAACTCATTGAAAAATATATAAAATAAAATATTTAAAAAAAAACTCAAGAAGAGAAAGGAAAGCTTGACCTCAAACGCTGCAGAATACAGGACCACCATTTCCTTTTTTTCAATAAACGTTACTGAGACAAATAACACACAGATCTAAATCCACCATAAATTTCTCAGGAATAATACAATTAAAAAAAATTGCATGAAAATTCCCATAGTATATGTGAAAACTAGAAAAGTTCTGTAAATAAACTTTGGAAAATGTCTTCTCCAGTTTATAAACTGAATTGACAAATACTTCATGAGAGGATGACTAGTAGTTGCACATTTTTCACATTATCAACAGTTTAGAAAGATAAAATAACAAAATATTAAGCATAAACTGAATGAGTTTTGCTTGAAGTCATTTACTTTCCACTTTATAAAGAGAGCAATGTTTAAATTACAATTATTCTAATGACATGAAAACCATGAGGTAGGGCCTCCCCGGTGGTGCAGCGGTTGAGCTCTGGGTTGCGAAGTTGCCCACAGCCTCTGCAGCGCCGGTTTGATCCCCGGCCGCAGGGCGAGGGTCCCACATGGCGCGCAGACCTTTCCTGCCGCCCGCTGTTCCCCTCAGCAGTGTACTTTGTCTGTCTGCCTGTTCTGCTCTCTCCTCTGGCTCTGGTGAATTTTCTCACCCTCCCGCACTTCTGACTGTACCTAGTGCTTGTATAAATAAATAAATAAAATCTTTAAAAAAAAAAAAAAACCATGAGGTAGAGCTTATTCATAACTGTAACTCTACACTTTAGAAATTATATTTATTAAGAAACTGAACTTTTTCTAATGAGAAACTAGAGCTTCGGGAAAGCTAATGCCAGGACCAGGGAAGAATATCCTAGACGAGCCAGGCCATCTGGCTGCACCCAGGTGCAAGGACACTACTAAAGGGTCGTGTCGCCAGGACCTGGATGTATGAAGACCTGCAGGGGCATTTGCTGACCTAAAAGGGAACAACACTGCATTTCATTGAAATATATCAAGCACACAAAACTCAGGAATTCATAATACCAAAAAAAAAATCTCACTGGTCGCCACCAGAGGTTGGTAAGCACCAACTCATTCCTCTGGAGACATAAGAGAAAAACATCAGGCATTATTCTGATTTTCCTCCCCACGTGTTATTTCATGGTAACCAAATAGTTAAGATTTTTTTCTAGAATTATAAAGAATGCAAAATGATCAATAAAATTAGAAGATCTCCATCCTGCAACTCATAAAGAAATTATGGATCCAGACAGCCACCATCAGTGGGCACTAAAACCATCAAGCGAGAGGCGGACAGGAAGTTACTAAGGAAGGAAGGCAGACATCCCTGAGTCCAGATGGAACTGAGCATCACTAAAAATGAGGCCACCAGACATTCTGTGCCTTATGCTGCAACGTGACGGAAAGCACACAGCACCGCCTGTAAAATACTCTGGCCAAGAAAACAGAACTTGAATCTAACTAAGCCTCTAGATCTGAGTACCAGTTCACCGGCAACATGGGATAATATGGGAGCAGGTTAAGTGACACCACAAGGAAGCAAGTAGCTAAATTCAAAATGTAATAAATACATTCTAAGAGGCAAATGATCTAGCTTCTCCAAAAAAATTAATGATGTGGGGGAGAGGGCTACATGAGGAAGAGTGGACAATATAGGGGGGAAAAGATTTGAGATATAAAAACCAAATGTAATTTGTGGACTTTGCCTGGATCCCGATTCATACTAACTAGGTATAAGGCCTGTGAGGCCACTGGGACCATTTTAATAAGGGCTGCCTATTAGATGACATTAAAGGCTTCTTGTTAATTTCATTAAATATAACACATTGTGTGTGTGTGTGTGTGTGTGTGTGTGAGAAAGAGAGAGAGACAGAGAGAGAACTGATCAGTTGGAGATGCATTTGGAGGTGTTTTTCTGAGCTGTACACCTCATTTTCACAAAGTACATTACACATCACATAGTTTGCTTTCATATGCTGGGGAGGATAGGGGTGTGTGTATGGGGAATAGGTAAAACAGCATCGTTGTTAAAGCAAAGTAACCCAATAGATGGGGGTTCATTTTACTATTCTACCCACTGTTAGGACTGCATACCTCAACATCCTCTAAAAAGCTACAGTGCCGCACCCCCCAAAAGCCCTATCTTTGTGCTTAATAATCAAGGCACAAAAGGGGCTGCCAGTCCCAGCACAGCTGCCCTACAGAACTTACCTGATTAGAAGATGATTTCTGCTTCTCTTGCTTCCACTGGTTCATCTGGGGCTTTGGCTTTTTGGGAGGGAGAGACTTCACTTTGCCTTTGTCCCGCAACCTGAAATAAAATGGTCAAGTAGGTATCATCCTGAGTTCTCTCTCTAATTAGGACTCCTGGGGTTCTCTCAGCCTGGAAGAGAATTTCCTTTCCTTACACTGGCTCTTTCTAAACCCACGGTAAGCCATTGTAAAATGGGACACTGAAACAGAATATTCTATAGCTCAACAGTTGTATACTTGCTTTTTATTTTGGGGTTTTAAAGCATCAGGAGAATCTCAACTTTCATTTATTGAACAAATATTCAAAGTAAAGATTTACTTTTGTTCATAGCACTAATCTGCTGCCCCAAACAAACTACAGGTTCAGCTCAGGTAGCTGGCCCTCAGCTGAAAAAGACAGCCATCTGAGCAGAAGGCAATCCCTCAGAAAAGGAATGTGACATGACGGCTCCCCTGGAGGGCTCCCACAGGCCCCCTCAGCTGGTCCTGTTTCCTGTTCCCACCTCCATTTGGTCCAAGTGTGACATCCCTGCTGGTGCAGAGAGACCTGTGCATTGACCCTCTGTGTGGACTGGCGAAGCATTTATGTTTCTTCCACCCAAACAAAAGCCACAAAGAAAAAGGGCTGAGCAAAAATAAACCCTCTTAGCATCACACCCATTCTATGACACCATTCTGCAGCTCACCTAATTTTGGGGCCTCGGTGAGAGGGGAGCACCAGAACCTTTCTTCTCTTCTTTCCATCTGGCAGCTCTACCTGCTCCACTTCGGCCTTGGTCTGGAACCCAGTCCAGGAGATGGCACCTGCCTTCCCGCTCTGCTCTGGGGCCTTGCTTTGCTTCTGGCCATGGTTTCGGCCTACTTTCTTCTGCTTGTCTTTTCCAAGCTCTCGTTGCGCCTGCTGGGGCTCAGCTGAGGACTTAGGTTTCACTTTTTGCTGCACAAAACAAGAGACTGTCATCTGGTTTCCGGATAAGATTTATTTGCAGAAGAACTTTATGTGAGCTTGATGAGCGAATGGAACTTCTTCTCCCAAATAGTTAACTACCAAAAAGTAAATAAAAGTAGCTCACAGGCCCTAATACAGCACAGATGGTTACTAACTGGGGGACCCAAAACCACCACTTCCCTTTCCATAAGCAGAAATAGAGGAAAGCCCATGCATGCCCAAGACTCAAAAGTCAGAGCCAAAAAATAAATGCCAGGGGCATGGGGTAATTGCTAAAGGTGTAACAAGCATGTAATGGACATGCCAAAAGGAATATCTGGAGTAACAATGACTGAGATTTTTCCAAAATTAAAGACATGCTAACCATAGATCAGAGAATACCAAGTAAGGTAAATACAACACAGTCTACACACACATACACACACCCCATAATCAAACTGCAGAAAATGAATGATAGAGGAAAATCTTGAAGCCAGAGGGGAGAAATACCTTACTCACAGGAACAAAGAGAACACTGGATTTGTCTTCAGAAATCATGTAAGTAGGGGCGTGGCACAAGATATTTACAGTTTTTGAAAGAAAATTTTGTCACAAACCTAGAATTCTGATTTCAGCAAAATTATTTTTCAAAAGTGAAGGAGAAATAAGGATTTTCTCAGATAAATAAAAATTGAGGCAATGCTGTCACTGGTAAACCTTATTTGTGAAAAATACTTGTGGGCCTCCCTGGTGGTGCAAGGTGTTAAGACGCAATCTACGAAGCTATCCTTAGCCACTAAAGCACGAGTTCGATCCCTGGCCAGGGAGCTGATCCACATGGAGCAGCAGTCGTCTCCTGACTTGCCCGCTGCTCCCTTAAGCAGTGTATTTCAGTAGATCTGCCTGTTCTGCAACTCACTCTATCTCTGGTGAATCCTCTCACTCCCCCACACCTCTGGCCTGTACTCCAGTTCTTGTATGCATAAATAAATAAATCTTCAGAAAAAAAAAATACTTGAATGAATGTCTTCAGAAAAGTGAAATGATCTAGATCAGAAACCTGAATGTACATAAAGAAGAGATTTAGAGAAGGAATATATGAAGAGAAAAAGACATGGGGAGATGCTGTGGGAAAGAAGGCACAAAGGTTGTTAGATTTATGTTGCCTGGAGTTGAAAGACGACAAAGAAGATTCAAGTGAAATTAGTGTCATCTGGTCATTTTCACCTTCAGAATCTAGACAGGCATACTGATACAACAAAGACCAGCAGATGTGCCTGTTCTGTGACCGTCTGTTACTAAGCAAATGGTAAGGACACAGAATAAAGCGTCCACCTTTCAAGACTCACAGCTTAACGAGGTAAGAAATACATATAAAGCAAAGGAAAAAACCCAGAGTTTAAGAAAGTTCATAAAAATACTCATTGCAGTCTTCTCTCTTTTGATATTGGTGGGAAATGCTACTTAAGTACATTTGATCTGAATATGGAAACTGAGCTACAAGAACCCTGGGGTAGGGAAAGGGCACTCTGATACAGCAGTGGGTACATACTCAATGTAGGCAACAAATAAAGCCATCTGAACTTTTTTCTTAAGCCAATGGCTTCAGAATCACTTCTGAAGCCAATGGCTTAAGGAAGTTAATAATTCTAAACCTAGGATAACTAACTTGCCTTGCATAGTAGCCAGAGCTCAAGTTTTCCAAGCCAGGGCCACTGTAGTAACCACTACACTGCTCCTCTATTGGTCATACTCACGGTTACACCCAAAGACTGCACCTGCTTGGTATACGTACAAGTTAAAGTATTATATCATGAGAGCTGTAAGATCATGGTGTCATGTATTAAGTATGTCCTGGGGAAGACAGGTACGAAACGTGCATTGATGTACACCATGTGAGACAGCTGACATGAACTATCTCACTTGATCCTCATCAACCATGCAAGGCAGATGATGTTGACCCTATTTTAATACTAGGAACAGAGTAAGAGAGACAGTAACCTGAAAAGGAACATGCCACGAAAAGGAGAGTCGGGGTCTGAACATGAGTATCCTTATTCCCAAAGTCCCTGCTTTTTCCTCCATGCCACACTATATATATATATTTTTTTTTTAAAAAGTATTAAACTATCAGACATCACACTTCTGGAGAAATCTCAGGAAAAAAGAACTATGGACAGATGGCTAAAACCTACAGGTACAGCAATACTACTTTACTACCAGACATCACCCAATGCCAAACACTGCACCAGAGTGCCTGGTGTAATAACCAGTCTGATTCTCCACTCTCTTCCCTTTCTCTTCTGTGGAGCCACCACAAGACAGGCCCACAGAGAAGATGACCTGGAGAGTTCAAGGGACCCAGGAGTTAAAAGGTAACAAAAAATGAGGTAGAGAGACCTATGCAGGGAGCAAAAGGACAAACTGAACAACAGGAATTTAAATAAATATGACTTATAAATTGTTTTAGCAGAACTGTACACATCAAAATTGTGAGTTTGGGGTTATGTGTACTTCATCATCACTTAAAAAAAAAAAAAAAACAACTTAAGTTCTGTACCAGGCTGCGTTGTATCCTTAGTTCCTTTATTCTAAGTTTCCTTCGATCTTCCAAAGAGAACTCCACTATTGGTCTCTGTGTCAGGAGAGAGAATGGCATTCATTAGACTTCTTACTCTATGAGCGCAATAAATAGCTGTTCCCCAGCAGTGCCCTCTTTATTCTTTAAGTCGGGAGATGCTACTCACTCACTCAACTGAAAGGCCAGCAGCCAGTTCTGCCAGCAGTCTACCCAGCTCAGACTTCCTTCCAACCATCCCATCCTCTGGAGCACTGCTCATTCCCTCCACTGACTTGCTTTCCCACCAGCTAAGGTCAAAGGACACTGGCCACGAAGGAAAGGGAGTCTTCTGCAAATGGTGCTCCTGGAGCAGCTCTCCTCACAGGATGGGGCTCACCTTCTGAGGCCCAAAGACTTCGGGGTTGTTGTTGATGTGGCGTAGGGCTGTCAGCGCATGTTCGTGCTCCTGGAACTCAGCAAAAGCGTAGCCCAGGGACTGACCCTTATTTTTCCCATGAGCTCCTTTCAGGTCTCGCATCACCCTACACTGTGAGCAGAACAAGACAAAGAATCAGTAATTTCAGGATGATATGCCTTAACAGATTCAGTAAGAAATCAAGTTACTTGGACAGACTCTTCATCTGCAACACCATCACAAGAATTAACTAAAATAACACTTAGGAATGTATCTTACCAGCATTTACTTACAAAGACCATAAAACAAATTAAACAGATGTGTCCTTGCTTTCTAAGAGTTTATAGATATCAACACATACCTACAACTAAGCATGCATAAAAATATTTCTCAAGGAAAACTGTTGACAATACATCCTGACTGAGAGGTGCTTGTACTTTAAGTTGTACATTAAGTTATCACAGCAGAAGTACTGTCCATAGATGTCATCATTTCAGAAATCACTCAGAAAAAATTACTGAAGAAGGAAAGAAAGAAGGCCCGATGGCTTTAGATAAGAAAGACATTTCAGGCATGAGTAAGAGCCTATCCAGGATACAAACTCAGAAATGCAGGAAGAATCTTCAGCTGCCTTTGCTTGGTGCTGAAATTCTCTCTGGCATGACTCTTCCTTAAATCTTTATGCCAGATCTAACAGGCATCCAGGGGCACCAAGTACAATGATATTTGGAGAAATAGCACTCCAGGATGCTACAGTTTCATTTAGTGGAAGTCTAGGTACTAGGGACACTTCAACACTGCATTTGGTATATGTCCAACACCTGCTCTATGGCCTAGACCTGTGTCATGTATGTAGGGGAGTCAAAGAAAGTTAAAAGGGGGTTCCTGTACTAAAAAAAAAAAACTTGCTCAGACATATTTGTATACATGTGAAAGAATTAAGAGAAAATTCAATATGAAAATATTACAAAACACATCAATTGTGCTAAACAATGACAGGTTTTAAGAGAGCACACATTTACTAAGTATTGTGGATACTGATATGAGAAATTACACAACTGACTCCTATGTCAGTGACACTCTGAACAGTTTTACTAACAGTGGGGTCAGGTATGTGCTGATATGTTCACTTCCTCTCACGGAATTCCCTAAATATCAACGCCATACACCCTGATGAGACTCTTCAAGGATTAGGAAAAGTTTACGGTGATGAAACATTTTCAATAAATACTGACAGACTGCTGTATACTGGGTACTGTACAGAGGGCTGGAAACAATGAGGTAATACCTGCTCCCAAAACCTTCGTCTGGTCAGGAGAAATTACTGCCAGGACACTGCAATAGTAAGTGCTAAGACAGAGAAATACAAAGGTGCTGTGGGGACAGATTTCTGGACTCACATAGTGTTCTAACCAAGTGTTGGTGTGAATCCAGTGTTTGTCTGACAAATGCTAAGGATCCAAGTAGCTCCTTGTGCTCTCCGGGGGGCACAGAAAACTCTTACTATAGGGTCAGAGCCTAAATGACAGTAAAATCCTCTTCTAAAAAGCAAAGCACAGATTGTTTTCTGTAAGAAAATGAACATTACAGCACCTAGTATAATGCTGAATACACAGCAGGCACTCAATAAATGCCACCAAATTAATTCATCAGAGCAAAGACTTCCTTACATTTTGGTGCCATTTGGTCAGGTATGAACAATTCTTAGAAGAGAAAGAAAACTGATGAATACAGCCTTGTCTTTGACTGACAATGAGTCAAAAAAAAAAAAAAAAAACAAACGTGTTGCTCTGCTAGCACCACTCCTGCAATAAATGCTCAACCTAACTCGGGGCAAATACCAAATTGAATGGGGAGGGCCAGCTCTTACCTCCTTGATGCGCACCCTCTTCTCCCCGCTCGTGGCATTTAGCAGCAGTTTTCTGAGTTGTTTGTCATCTACCGCCTTTGGAAGATTATGTAGGCAGAGCCTGGTCCGGGAGACAAAGATATTCTGGTCCTTGAGTTTCTGATGCTTCAATAGCTCAAACTGCAAGAACAACATATCGTTAATACGACCCAGCCTTTAAGAATGCAGGGTCATAATTCTCCCAAAGAATGGAAACATGACCCTCATCCAATAATCACACCTACAGAAAAAAGGAGAGAAAAGACAAAACACTTTTGATGCTAAGCATGGGGAAGGAAAGGTTCAAGCAGGCAAGACAGGGGCCTTGTGGTAAGACCATGGGCTCTGGAATCAGACTGAAGTGGAAACCCATCCCTAACTGCAGCAGTTCCTAAAATTTTTAAAGCCTCAATTCTTCTCATCTGCAAAGTGGAACCACAGAGCAAATATAATAGCAATCTCTCAATACTAACATGAGGCCAAAAAGGTAATTTACATAAAGTCACATGCTCAAAACCTGCCCCAGAACAAACAATAAATAATACCGTGGTTAGCATCTATACTCAGTCCTTATCTATTCACCAACTCAAACTATTTTCCAAAAGGAAATGGAATTTAAAGAATACTTGAAAGAATGTTGTCTTGTCTCAACTCTGCCACCCTGAGGCAAAGGAATGTCCATGACCACAGAAATGATTGTTTCGAGAGCCACCAACAGCCTCACCTATGCTGCACAGATCACTGGTTCCAGGGCAGCCTGTCTCTAAAATAGAAGGATGGCCTTCTTCTCCTGGTTCGTTTTTAAGAATCAGGCTAGCTAGAAAAAGACCTTAATTTTTTTTTCCTTTCTAACAAGTTGTCTCTTTTCTATTGCTCGTTGTTGGCAAGGGTACTAACCACACAAACTAAACAAATACACTGGAGGTGAACAGTAAAGGGACCTCTGAAGAGCCCATCATGCCTACGGTCACCAGTCTGTTTTTTCTCCCAGGTAAGGCTGTGCCTCCTGTGAATTATACTGTGTGTAATAACATAAGGAGCATTTTGCTAGAAAATAATCGCTCTGTTAATGAATAAATTGTTAATATAATTCATTGAAAGTAAACATGTCCCTATGACACTGTGGTCAGAAAAGGGCATCTAAAGTCCCCCGACAGCATGATTCCAGACGCTCATTACCAAAAAAGGGCACTCTCTGCATGTTCAGGCCCCACAGCCAATTGTCAGCCAGGCCACCTTTGCAATCTAGGCTGGCTTAGTTTTTTGAAAGCTACAAGAGCTAACGTAAAAATTAGCGGGAACAAACATTACCAAACAGTAAAGGAATTTAATGGTATCGGTCATCAGTGGCAACTCCCATAATATGGAGTTGTTCTACAATGGTTTTAATCTAGAAAGTATGTCCCCCCAAAAGGACATACTTAGCTACTCCACCCTCTAAGACCCACATCCACTTCTGTCTCTCCTAACTCTTGTAACTTACTTTTCCTCATATACAGCCCCAGCGTATCTTCTGCATGCTCTAGAAGCATACAGTTCAGCCAATATTTACTGCTGAGCCACAGGAAGACAAACAATAAAATGCAGCTTGTATAATGGCATTTAATGCTGATGTAAATGCATAATGCTGGGGATCTGCCATTTCACCTGTGCGCTTTTCTCCTAACAAGAGTGTAACTAGGACCTATGACTAATACTTGGCTCTCTGATGAACACCTCTAATATTCAATAATAATTATGTACTGATCTATAACAGGCCGTGCAGAAACCGAAGCCTGCTGGTGCCCAATCTACTCACCCGTTCTCTTTTGGCCATATCGGCAGCACTCACACCCTCTGCAGCTTTAGTCCCAGCACGAATCACTGAAGAAAGAGGGAAAAAGGCCAAGACATCAGCAAGGGAATTCTCACTGAGCAACAACAGGAATGTGATTTGAATGATGCAAGTTCTTTGTACAGGGCCCAGAGGACTATGCTGGCCAGGACGCAGGGGCATTTGGGTAGGTGCAGAAATAGGCTACAGGGCTAAATTCTCAGCTCAGCTACTCTCAAGGACCAAAAACTCTGAACATTTTGTGATTTTGCTCTGCTTCTCCTTTCCTTTTCTCAAGGAAGCTTCATAAATATCCCCCAAAGTCCAGTGAAAAGGCCTAGAGGGAATTTTGAATACAGCACATTTTAGGCATTTGGAACATCCAACCTATAACCTGCCCTTGGAACTTCACTGCTCTTCATGTACTGGGGACACATTACTAAACGGTGAGAGAAGCAGCCTAGAATACAGGCACACTGCCATTGACGCCATGCAGCCAAGGCTAAGGACTCACACTGCTAGCCTAGCTGGGGCAGCTGTGCAGAAGGTGGGCAGAAAAATACTGTATGACCTAAGAAGAAGGAATTTCTTTTAAATTAAAGCTAATTTCTGATTATCTTTCTGACATTAAGGGAAAGGTACTGAGTGTACATTTGAAATCTATGAATAATCCAAGAGTAATTTTAGTCATAATTTTCTACTCCTTCAGAAAACCTCTTATTAGAAATGACAAGAAGCAAAGGTATTTTGAGTTTTTCCTCCCTCTTTGCTCTGCCATCCTCTGAAAAGGTCTAAAGGCAAGGAGGCAGAAAAGAGAATAGGATTAGTTCATCCAAAAATTGGGTGAAGGTTTCCTAACACAAAACCGCACCTGCTAAAGTGGAATAACAGTAACATAACACTATTAAAGAGGACATTTGGATTTTTAATTGGAAACATGCCCTCACATACACTACTGCTGGGTCAGCGCCTGGCACAGGCCGGCTCCCCAGGAGCTGTCTTCCCATCTCCCCCACTCACAGCCTTCTCGGGCCAGGTAGAGGTTCCGGGTTCCAGTTGGCTTCTTCACTTTCTTTGTCCGGAGCTTTGCAGCCTCATCACGGGTCACTGCCAAGTCCACCTTGAGCTGCCTGCCATCCAGTTTAAGTCCGCCACCCTGTAAGAGATTGCAGTGCTCTCTTAAAACACATAGCAAGTAGAAACTAAGCACCTGGCAAGAAACACCCCAATTATGCTATGCAAGCCAACCCCCAGGATGTTGGAGCCCAGGTGGCCACAAGTGGAACCGTGAGCCTGACAGTATTTAGCATAGTGCACAAGCTGTATTTTGCTAGCATTCCTTTAAACGTTAAATATTGTCTCATGTGAAAATAATGTAATAGTTCCTAGAACTACGGGGGTGCTGATCTTCTGTCCCTCATAAGTGTGCACATAGGACAGTCGGCCATAATGTAATTTATTCTGTGGTCTCTGATTAATCCCAAAGTAGATTAAGGACAATGATCTGAAAACAGGTCAATTTTCAGTGCACTAAAAAGACTGATGAAATGGTACTGTGAGCGCTACTCCAGGGAATATGAGACAACACAGTGTAACAGCTGAAAACAACTTATACTTGGTTATAAAATACACAGAAAAATTCATCTACACACTTTTTCTCTGAAACTTTTCCCCACTTCATAGGTGAACTTAATGGCTTCTTGTCCAAGCCTTTCATGTCATCAGCTTCAGATAAAGGCCAACAGTGATCAGCAAAGATTAGAAACATTATTGTACTTATTTCCTTATCTATAAAACAGGAATAAAAACTGTACTTCCCTTATCTACCCCTATAGGGCTGATGGTAAGGAGGACTAAATAAGGTAATGTATGTAAGGCTCACTAAGTGAGAACTTTATTACGTTATTGACAATGATAATAATAAAGTTTTGCGTAAACATCAGATGTTGGCCCTGGCAGTCACTACTATCTAATTTATAGGGTAAAGGAAATTCCTTACCTCAGTCTCTAGAGAAGCAGCCTCAAGGCACTTCTGAGCTGCTTCTTGAGTCGTGAACTGGGCAAATGCACAACCTACATAAAAAGACAAAATTAAATGAGATCCCAAACCCCCATAGCCCACCAGGAAGCCAAAGACAACACTATAAATGGTGGCAGCCTGACACAAAATGGAGGGGAGTAGCATGCTTCCACTAAGTGCTACAAGAGCCAGGCACTGTGTCTGGCACTGAAGGTTCAAAGACAGAAAAGAAAACATACCTGCTCACAATCAAATTTTATTATTTTATCTTTTCCAATACTACTTCGAACTTTCATCTCACAATCTCACCATAATAAAAAATATCCACAAGAAATGGTAAAGAAATTGCAGTTTAACATCTAATTTAGCATCACTTACTATGTGTCTATCAAAGGACTGAAAAATGAGGCAGGAACCACTTACCCCTGAAATTCATTAAAGCCCTCCCTGTCATCACAGTCACTGGGAGGCACCAGGTAAGGGCAGATGCGTCCCCTGGGAGTAAATGTCCCTGACTTATATCACTGAATAGAGCAGTAAATCAAAGCTGCGAACTCAATTCTTGACTCGTGTGCTAGAATTTCTACAGTAACCTTTCACCGGTTAGACGGAGAGCCAATCCAGCCATCCTAACTTCAGCTATTGATAAAAAGTACCTTTATAGACAAAGAAACAAGTATCCCTTACAATATACTCCAGATAAGAAATATGTTTCATAATATTTTGTTGGTTTTCCTTTAAACATTAAATAGTCCCTCATATGTGAATACAATGCCGTATTTCCTAGAGTTAATAGAGCACTGACTTTTTGTCTCTTGTAAGAACAGCAGCAGACTAACTGAAAGGATGAATGCGGCAGGTCAACCCAAAGGCCATCTAGTGAGGGCTTCTCTGCCTCCGCCAGGCAGAGCCAAGATCCTCACCACAACCAGACCTCAACTCTCATCTCTATGACAGCACTGGTCAGGCAGCCTCTTCCCAGACAGACTGAAAACCTCAGGAGTAAGAGGCATGTTTCTTGGCAGCTTCTATATTCCTACCACCAACCACAGTATCTAGCATTGATACTCAATAGGAAGAAGCAAATAATAAAGAAATTATATAGATAAAATAAAATAAACAGATTATCCTATTTGTCCAATATGAATAGGTACTTCTCTCTAAATGGGTTAAGAATTTTTTATCGGAATTTCCAGGGTCAGTACTGGGTTCAGTCTTAACATTTCCCTGAAAGTCTGCAGATAAGATTTACCTCTTCCAGGAAGTGAAATGGCACACTGACAGGGATAAGCTGTAGGAGGAGGCAAAGTTGTGTGAGTAGGCAGAGTGTCAGAAAAATTTAATAGGAGGTAGGGAAAGACAATGCATAAAAAGTAATGAAAATTATTCTTATAAAAGTCATTAACTCTCAACTAAAATTAACAGACCAAGAAAGAAACTGAGCAAGTCAACTGTAGATTGCATCAACCCAACACACTTCTGCACTCAATAAGACACAAAAGGTATCCTCAAAGTAAAATACAGAAATATCCTTCAGAAAATGAAACATCCTATGCAATTTTAGTTGCCCATTTTAAGAAAAACATACTAGAAATGGAGAAGGTACAAGAAGTGCAAGGAATATGAGAGCTGAAGGTACCTTAAGTGATTATGCTAGTTGAATGTTCTCATTTTACAGATAAGAAACTAAAGCCCACGGTGGATGATTTGCCAAAAATCACCTAGCTGGTCTATCTATGGTTTAGCTAGGATTAGAACCCTAATCTCTAGGAAGAAGTTCATTTTTCTTTCCATCATACTGCCTTATTTACACCTTTTTTAACTGAGTAAAAATAATCAAGACTCATCAATTTGGAAAATTAGGTTTAAAATGGAGAGTTTTTTTTGTTTGGTTTTGGTTTTTGTGTAGAATTGGGGTGTAGGCCAGAGGTGCAGGGGTAAGAGTGGTCACCAGAGACAGAGTGGGGAGCAGAACAGTCAGATTTACTGAAATAGACTGCTAATGGGAGCAGCGGGGTGAGAAAGGAGAGGTCTGCTGCACCATGTGGGTTAGCTCCCTGGCCAGGGATTGAACTCAGGCCACAGGGTTGATAGTGCTGAGACTTAACCCCACCAGGTGGGCCCTAAAAAGGAGGTTCTTAATCCATGGACAGGCTCCAAAGAACCCACAAACTCAAAGAAATGGGATTTTTCTGGAAAGTTTGCAGCTTCTGCTAGATCTTACAAGAATCAAAATGAATTAAGAATGTGCTTTAGTAGAATGAATGTAGTTAGTGAAACCAAAGATTATGAATAAGTTCAAAAGATGGTTACCCTCACAACAGTGTACTATAATTAGGGGTGATCAACCCTTGAAACTCAAAACAAATAGTTTCAGGAAACAAAACAAATCTAATGCAGCACTCCCGCTATAAGTTTCCCTTCCAACTGTAGCTACTATACCAAAGTTTCTCTGTCAGCTTCCATCTCTAACAAAAGCAACAGAAAAAGATACCAGTAATTTCAAGCAATGTCAGATGATTAATACCCAAGAGATGCTATCACATTTGAAATTCAAACGAGGACAACAAATGGAATTCATTACCCTAAAATAAATAAGCAAGGGCTTAAAAGCTTAGACAAAATTATGGCTGGCAATAGCATTAAAGATGCTGAATTTGACATCATGGAAAACCACCTCTGAATGTCCTTGTGCTTGGATGAATCACAGAAACCTCAGCTGTGTGGACTGTGGGCCCTCAGGATGGCCCACATTTGCTCTCATGTAACCTGGTCAGTGCCCACCACAGTGGTCTCCCACTGCCCAGCTGACGGCAAATACCTTTAGAATGCTCTGTGTCTGGATGCAAGACGATGCGGACATATTTAAGATCACCAAATTGCTGGAGGAGCTCCCCAAGTTCTTCTTCCTCTGAGTCAAAGGACAGGTTTCTATGGAAGACAACCAGATCACAAGGAAGATCAATTACAGAAGTGTTATCCTGAGTTCCAGTGCAAAATGCGTAACGAAGGCTTCAACTAGTGTGGTTCCTTTGCTCATGACCACCCTCTCTTGTTCGGCACTAGCACCCATCCACAGGGTAGCCAGTCTCTGAGGCATGAATGACACTGCTGCTTGGCCGCAATTGACTTTCTTCCTATGGCATTCAGATTCTCTCTCCCAGAAATCTAAAACCTAAACAGACATACACAAAGAACAAAAGTTGTAGATGCAGACTTATTTCAAAACAGTAGTGTCCCAGCTGTAGGAAACCTCTGGGGAGCTGAAAATGTTTTATATTTTCACCTAGAGATTTTATTTGTGTGTGGGAGGGGTGGTATACACATATGTAAATATAACTATAAAGTGATTATGTATGAAAAATTTCACTCAGCTGTACTTCACAGAGCAGATACTAGGAATTAATATCTCCTGCAGCTGGGGTCGCAGAACTGCCCCAACTTTTATTCCCTTTTTGACAACACTGATTCTTTGAGCCACCCCCATGTTCAACCAAAAAACCTGCTTTTCCACTTAAATCGGTCAAATTGGTTAATTTCCTTTACTATAAATGAATGCCAGATTCACAGCAGGCTAATGAGAAAGCCAAATACCTGCCCTTCCCTCTCTCTCCCCATATCTCTCAATTAGCCATTTCCTCGTGTTTTTATGAAATGCAGGTTTCAGCTAAAATTTTACAAAATCACAAAAACCTTCAAAATAATAACTTAAAAGCAAACATGATAAAGATTATTAGCTAAGTGCAAAAGAAGAAAACTATTTCCCTCAATGGAATTAAAATATGTTGGAAGGAGATTTTGTTCTTCTAAATTTCAACACAGTGTAGATTCCTCATTTTCCCAGCTATGTACATTCTTCCAAGGGTCAGAAAAACAGTTCCAAATAAATTATCTACAGTTCCACTTTTCTTGTACTCAGTTACAACACCCCATAAATGATTTTCTCTTATGGGGTAACCAAGATCAAAATTTTCTGCAGTATGACATAGCCTACCTCCGTTATTTCTTCTAATTTACCTCATCATGTACAGTTTTCTATCCTCCATCCCTTTACTTTCCCAGTTCTTTTTTTTATTAAAAGATGTATAAGGAATGGTATCCTTAATACTGAGGTCACAGACTTCTAAATGTGACATTTCTTCCTTCCTATTAGACAGAATACTCTACCAATACAAAATAATTTATATGACAATTTCAAATAACACAGCAAATAGTATGGAAAGCCATGCTATTAAGGAAGAAAATGGGCTTGAGCACAACATGTATTAGGCTAACCTCATCTTCACTATTATTTATGATGCATGCGTGTGGGTGGGTGTTCACCAGGTAGTGATTAAGGTTAATTTGTCTTTTTTGCTTATGTGTTTCCTAAATTTCCAAGAATAAACATAAATTATCAGTATAATAAAAACAATTTTATGAAGACTGTATAAGAAGATAAAATACACATAATTAAATAAGACCCAAAAGGCCTTAGCATGCTGGTACTAAAGAAATGGTAAGACAGGCTGGAGATGCACTATGTAAACACCATCGTATGGTAGTCCGTAGGGCTAAGACAGCAATGGCCACATGAAATAACACCTAGCGTTAACCTGACTTCCACCCCAGTTTTCCTGGGAACAGACAGAATGCCTTGTTTTATTCTGGACACTACTTTAGAGGACAAGTTAGACTGATGAGAGAAATTGAGACAAGCAGTGTCATCCTCCCCCAACACTCCCCCCTTATAAAAAGTCTGGAAGCAAGATGCTTATAACAATTGAAGAACTAACTTGTTGCAGAAGATGTTACTCCAATTACAAAGAATGAAATCTAAATGAAGCCCCAGACCCCCTGTTATCTACCTTCTGTGTATAGTCTGAGGCACCTACATTTCTCATTGTATGTTATGTCCCTGGGATCAGATATGCTAATGGTCTTGAAGGCCAGGTCTTTCTGGCCTGACTAGCAGAATTAGTGTAAAATAAACAAGAGGAGCAAAGAAACCCATGAAGACAACACAAATGGCAGTTTCCAAGGGAGAAAGGCACACCTGATAAAAACAGTTTTGCCTTCATTCACATCAGAGGGTAACTTCCTTTTCTTTTTCTTTGAGGCTTGAACATCTAAAGTGAAAAAAGAAAAACAAACTGAAAAAGACTAGTGCGAGCTATAAGACAAAGGACTACTTAAATATGCAATGATCTTGCATAAATCATTAAGAAAAATCCAATTAAAAATGAACAATGGAGGGCCTCCCCTGGTGGCACAGGCAGTTGAACACCACGCTGTGAAGCTGTCTGCAGACTCTGCAGCGCCAGTTCAATTCCTGGCTGGCTGGTGAGGGTCCCACATGGCGTGCAGACCTCTCCTGCCACGCCCGCTGCTCCCCTCAGCAGTGTATTTCAGTCTGCCTGTTCTGTTCCCCGCTCTGTCTCTGGGGAATCCTCTCACCCTCCCGCGCATCTGGCCTGTACCCCAGTTCTTGTATAAATAAATAAATTTAAAAAAAAAAGAGCAATGGATATGCAATACAAGAAAAGATACTCAAACTCACTTATAGTTAAAGAAATATAGCATAAAAAAATGAGATAACATTTTTCACCAACAGACTGGCAAAAACAAGATAGATGAAATTCAATGCGGTAAAAGTACGGGGAGAAAGAGATTCCCGTATATTATAACAATGCAAATTTGCTGGTAGTATAAAATATGAGAATATCTGAGGAGAAAAAAATATAAATACATTCAAGCACACATACATACACTATACTGTGTGTGTCTGTGTGTGTATTTGTATGTTTTCTTGTAACTGTAGTAAGTATCTTTAGACACACAAGGAAGATGGAACACTGGTTGTCTCTGGGAAGGGGCCTTACTAGGTAAGGATCTGCGTATCCTCGGTGGGTATTCCTCTGGGAATTGTGTAATGTGAGAGACTCACTGTTTTTAAGAACAGGAACAGGTATACTTACATATATTACACAGAAAATTCCTGGAAGGATGCAAAAGAAACGGTTTACTGGGGATGCCTGTTGAGGGGCTGGTGAGGAACTTTCAATTTTTATAATATACTTCTCTGCCTTGTATATTTTATATTTCTTTTTTTTGGTGGGACCCTCGCTGGCGGCTGGGGAACAAACCGGCGCTGCAGAGGCTGCGGGCAGCCTCACAGCCCAGCGCTCAACCGCTGCGCCACCAGGGGAGGCCCTATTTTATTATATTTCTAATTATTATGTATTAGTCCTACAATTTTCTCCAATGAAAGAAAGGGCAGAGAAAGCTTAATCTAAGTGGTAGAATGAAAGCTTCATAATTTCTTTGGTATAAAAGCTTCAATGATTCTCAGGGGTCTATCATTCTCTCTTCATGGAAAAAGCTTATTTCCTTGTATTCCTTATATGGCCAAATGAACATACCAGGCTTGCAGAAAAGGAAGAAAAAGGGAATGTCCTGGTAAGCGAATAAAATCGTCCACCTAGACAAACTAAAGAACCAGTTATTGGCGATTTCTCATTTGTAATGACTGCTTCCTCCATAAATGAGCTGAGTTGACCCCAATGTTCATGATAAAGTTTGCAGTAGAGTTTGGTTACAGTTTATCTCCATCTCAACTCAAAAGAGTTGTTTAAGGGCCTCCCTGGTGGGGCAGCGGTTGAACGCTGGGTTGCGAAGCTGCCCACAGCCTCTGCAGCGCTGGTTCGATCCCCGGCTGCTCCCCGGCCACCGGAGGAGGGTCCCACATGGCGCGCAGACCTCTCCTGCCGCCTGCTGCTCCCCTCAGCAGTGTACTTTGGTCCTTCTGCCTGCTCTGCTCCCCGCTCTGGCTCTGGTGAATTCTCTCACCCTCCCGCGCTTCTGACTGTACCCAGTGATTATATAAATAAATAAAAATAAACCTTTAAAAAAAAAAGAGTTGTTTAAAATCCACCTTGGTGTTAAGATGCAGTATCTTATTTATCCAGAAACACCAATCTAAGCTCATTTTTCAGAAATAATTATAGGTGCAGCAGGCCTCCTGTCCCGCCCACTGCTTCTCTTAGCAGTGTACTCAATAAATCCATCTTTTCTGTTCTCCAAAAAAAAAAAAAAAAAAGAATATAAAGGTTTGCTTTCATCATTCAAACGTCTCTGACATTTAAAGAACAACTTAGGGTCCTATTTCAAAAGAGGCCTAAGGTGAGCTAATCCCCACACCTCATCCACTTATTCAGGTGTTAAAGGCATCCAAGAAGGTGCCAGCAAACCTTCATCCTCCTGCTCTTCAGCGTCGGAATCACTCTCGGTCAGTTCCTCCCCGCTGTCAACACTGTCTTTCTCCTCCAGGTCACTGTCCTCGTCAGAGTCCTCCTCGCTGCTTTGCACAGAGGCCCTCTTGATTGTTCTGCAGTGACAAAGTTCAGAACTAAGAACAGGGGTACAGAGAGGCCAAACCAGGCCAATCACACGCGTCAGCACTGCATGATGGGGGTGGGGAAAGGCCCTGCTTTCCTTTCAGACAATCCCCAGAACAAGGTGAGCTGCTCACCTCTTTGGAACTGACACAGGCCTGGCCACCTTTGGTTCTTTCTTCTCCTCCTCTTCTTCATCCTCCTCCTCCTGGTCCTCTTCCGTATCATCACCATCATCATCACCATCATCTTCCTCTTCCATACCCTCTCTTCCCCTGCCATTCTTTTTACCTAATTCCTGCTTAGGTTTAGGCGTCTTTTCCTCACCTACCCAGGGAGGTAAAGAAAGTAAGACATTCATTTAATATCTAAAACAAGGTTCTTTTAACAAGAGTAATAACACCCCAAAGTTCCTAGTTTCTTTGGTTTTACAGTCTCACAGATTTTGCTCATAATAAAGTATGTGTGGGGGGGGTCAAGAAACCACCAAAAAAAAAACCCCATCACTGACATTCCCTTGAAATCTGTTCCAGTCATCAGAAGCCTGAAGGTTAGTCTGCTTGAAATGAGAGAAATGGTGACTGAGCCTCTGCTAACAGCTTACCATGAGGCACCACAGCTCACCCTGGAGCCCACCCTTGTACTTGAACCCCAGTCAGTTCTGAACTCCTGGTGAATTAAAAGCCAATTGTTTTGCAAATAAAATTCAGTTTCCCTATTCTTAATGTTCGATCCCTTCTTATTATAAAACACTGGGGAAGGACAGTGGGTCAATGAACCCAGGCCCCACTCTTCACTCATGGCTACTCCCAAGATAGGCCTTTGACTTAAAAGATCCTGTTTTGAGGCCAGGTCACCAGGCCATACAATATGAACTGACAAACAGCCCCGGAGGCTCATTTCTGAGGCAGCAGAAACTCAGTTTTCTTACCCTCAGTCTCATTCTTTTGGTTAATCTTGAGCTTTTGATATCTCCAGCCCACTCGTCTCCCTGACAAACAGGCTCCCTTATTTTTAATGTAATTTCCACACTCACCCACAACCTACAAGCCCCTTCTAACAAACACATTTTACCTGCAGCAGAGACAGACTGGGTATTTTTATATTTATCCTTTGCTACAGCCCAATCCACAGCCACTGTCCGCCCTGTCAGACAGAAAATTACATCAGAAAGATCCTCTTTTTAACATTCCTAGTGCCTATACATGACTTCCTATTCATCAAAGACAGTAATGGGACCAAAGGAGACACTGAAACTGCAAATTCAAAGAATGTTGGTTCTAAAATAAAGCTCCCAGAAGCTGCCTACTCTTTTTAACCCTGAACCTCTATCAATGAACAGAAAATTTCCCTTTCTGCAAAGCCACCACTTGGGGATGTGATAAAGTAAAAAAAAATAAAGAATTAGAACAATGCTTCCAGTTAGATCAAGTTCCCAGTTTGAGTAGCAGGAGGCAAAATGATTCTCCTATGATCTGCACCCTTCCCAGAAGTTAGGAAGTCTCTAAATGCTTTCTTTAGGCACAGTACCAGGTAAGTCAATACCCAGAGTAGGATCACTGTCAGTTTAATAGCCCATAGATGTGACAATGATAACAAAACTTAGAATGAAGAGGGGCCCCCTCCCTAGTGGCACAAGGGGTTAAGTCTCAGCACTATTAAGCTATCGGCAGCCACTGCAGCAACAGTTCGTTCCCTGGTCAGGGAGCTACCTACCACATGACACAGCAGACCTCTCCTGTCTCGCCCGCTGCTCCCCTCAGCAGTGTATTTCAGTCAGTCCACCTGTTCTGCTCCCCACTCTGTCTCTGGTGAATCCTCTCACACATCCCACCCCCCTGCACCTCGGTCCTACACCCCAGCTCTTGTAGGCATAAATAAATAAATCTTTAAAAAAAACTAATGAGGAACTTGCAAATCCCACATCCCGTCGACAGCAATCAGCATCTATTGCCATGTCAAGGACATGTTTCATTGGGGATTTAAAAGGATCAGTAAATAAGGAAAAGAGAATAAGGGCATTGATTCTTTTAAGTTTAAACCCTACACTCAAGCACTAAGACTATTTCACCAAAACAGCACCACTATTAACAGCAAGACTTTCAACAATGCAAACACTTGAAAACACAGAAAGTGGGTTACTGTGCTAATCTACCCGAACACCGGAAATACGGTCAAAGGTAAGGCTAGAGAAAACTCACCTTTTATCTCTTTCATGTTCATGCCTTTGAGGGCTTTTCCTGCTTCCAGGAGGTTTTTGAACTGGACAAAAGCAAATCCCCGCATCTTTCCATCTATGTGCAAACATACAAAGAAGTGAGAGGCAGCTGGTAAGGAGGCAAAAGACACTAAGATGGAAATTACAGCAACCCTGGGCTGGCAAGATGACCCAACACCTGCCAACCAGTCAGTCTCCTGCCCAAATCAATAAATAGCCTGTATCCTACTGAGTACACCATGCTTCAGCCTTGGGGAGAACAACGCAAAAAAATATCATGAGGGAAATATGGACTATTATCTGAGTCTTTTATTACTAGTCAAGCACTTTGCCTGATATTTTATAAATATCCTATCAGATGTCACAAAGAGTGTGACATGAACTTTTATTTTTATTTCAAATGGTGTTTAGTTCAAGGGTAATGTGGAAAAAGAATACTCTTAATCGAATCCCCTGCAAATGAAGGTTTACTGGTACCTGGCTTCCTAGGAATGTTTACTTCCAGGACAGTTCCATATTGAGCAAATATTGTCTTCAAGTCATCTTCTGAACACTGAAGCGAAAAGTAAAGAAAAAGACATCACAGCAAAGACACATAAAACACCAACTACTGAATTAATTCATTAAGAAGAGCTTGAGTATTGTTATTCCTCTTTTACTTTTGAGACTAGGATCATTTCTGAATAGAAGACATCTTGCTTTATATCTAAGAGGCAAAAAAGGACAAACAGAAACTTTTTCTCCCCTCCATTTCTCAAGAGCAGTCTTCCCCCAAAGGGAGCCATCTTCACACTTACTGTCCTTAATAAGTTCTTGTTTATACAGGCCCACTTTCTGAATTCAAGGCTAAGGTTCATTTCCAGAAGAAATTAAGCCCAATTATATCCTGGCGAGGAGTTCCGCCAGGGAACTCAACTCAGCTCTAGCAGCCTTCAGAATGTGCAGTGAGAGTTTTCTCTGTCACTTACCTTAAAGCTCAGATTCCGAATAATTAATCTGGCTTTTTTATCTGCCACTTTGGCTTTTTTAGGCTTTGGTTCCTTCTTTGGGGACTTTGAATTTTCTAAAAAAGGAAGAGGCAAGAGAGAATATATCTGTGCTCCAAAACCACCCACCTCTAGCCCTAGAACACCACAAACTAGCAAGAAAAGTTATTTTCCACCATTTTAAGTATGGGAATACCAGATTTTCCAGACTTACAAGTAAACAAAAGACGAAAATGAGTAACAAAACATACTGGATGACTTTGGACATCAAAGGAAATTCAGGAAGCATAAAGTCTAGAAGCTACGCTCATGCCACTCTGGCTCCTCCTCACCCTTCGCGAAAAAGCCCTTCAGTTATTTAGAAACTTACCATTTTCCCCCTTCTCCCTGGACTTGCTCCTCAGTTTTTTCTTGGCAACAGTCACGTTGATCTTGCAGCCTTCAAAGGTAGTAATCTCCTTGCGGGCCCTCTGGACATCTTCCGGCATAGAGAAAGTGACATAGCCAAAACCTCGACATGCCTTACTCCCTAGAACGGTATGGGGGGGGGGGGGGGGGGGGGGAGGGCACAGAGAGATCATCGTAAGCCAAGAGCCCCAAACCAATAAATTCACAAAGCCCTGAACTAGCAGATATACTGCCAGGCCACTCTGTTATCAGTTTGCCAAAACTGTCAGGAGGGAAAGAGCCAAGGTTGGGCAAATCAACGGCCCCAACCCTACTCTGCTCAGGAACTGTTCGGCTTCCTCTTCCAATGTGGCATCTCCCCCATAGCTCCTCTTCTTCCCCATTTCCTGATAATATCAAGAATACAGAGAGTCCAAGATATATTTTAGGCCTCCAAAGAACTTAATATCAAATGGAACTGTTCTGCCAGAGAAGGCAGCAAAGTATGTAAGTCTGGTAGCTTCAAAAATTATAATGGAATAATGCATGGTAAGAATGATCTCACAACAGATCAGCAATGAATGTCGGAAGCTCTGAAGAATGACACTCAAACAACAAACATTTCAGGAGCCTGTAGATCCTACTATTACGACCCAGCCTTATCAATATTACACTACACCTTTCCAAAGCAGTTGTAAATCTTGTGTCTTCAGAACACATCAAGGTAGGTAGGGTACTATCATCCCTTCTTTCCAAATGAATAATTTGAGGTTATTAAAAGTGAATAAACTGGTTAATTTCCCCCAGAATGTTAGTAGCTACATTAATTCATTACCAGTCTCCCTGCTTTCCATGGGACTCCATCAATCTAATGACCACAACAAAATATTGGGAAGAAGCAGGAGAATAGTTACAAATATCAACTGTAACCAACCTTTGCTCTTTTAGGTATGCTTTTTCTTTTCTGTTTAATATTTCTGGTATAGTAAATTTTAACTAATATACTGCGTGAATAAGGAAAAGGGACCAAGTAGTCTACCTACTACCCTCCGCTTTTTCAACTACATGCAAAACTGTTTCAGGGGGCAGGCCTCATGACACAGGACACTGATCAGCATTAAACTGGCTAAAGATGACACCTGACACTAGGAAAACATACCGTGATATGGAGACGGGTTTCTTTTCTCTTAGAATTCCTTCTCACAAAAGCCTGCCCATTCCCCATTCAGAAAATAAAAACAAGGAAAATCAGGGCCTGTGCCACTCAGCACTGCCGAAAATAAAGCAGCTAAAATGCTGAAGGATCTCAGCACCCAAGAAGAGAAATACTATCGATTTATGCCTACACACAGCACTCTCATACATTTACTTTAATCCTCACAACAATCCTGTGAAATCATTCCCATTTTCAAGATGTTAAATGATACTACTGAGTAAGACTCTCTCTGCCCTCCCAGCCTCACTCAGCCCTCCCAGTAAGACTCACTCTCCCTCCCAGCCCACGAAGGGTGGCACTCTTTCCATCTCCTGGGTGGCTGACCAGGAAAGCACACATTTGCTTAAAATTTAGACCACATACACAGGTACAAGGGAAAAGTTCAAGGACCCAAGAATTCTCATTCCATGGCCTGCGCTTCATCGGAACACAACTACCTTATACCGTGGGGCAATGTTTCTTAATGTGTTTTTTGAAAACTCACAATAAAGAATGTAATGTACAGTGGAATCGAGCACACATATTCTTTATAGAATAAGTTTTACAAATATTTATCCATACACACACACACACAGACACACACATACTCTCTCTCTCCCATTTCATCTTTAAAAAATTCTCGTCATGATGGGGGATGGGGTGCGGGGAGGGGAGGGATTGGGGTCAAAATAAGGGGGTCGCAATTATATGGGGAATATAAAAATAAAATTTATAATAAAAGAAAATTCTAGTCATGGCCCACTCAGGACCCACTAATGGGTAATGCTCTGCAGCTTAAGAAACACTGCTGTACAGTATTGTAGCTGTCTCATTCACCCGTATCTGTACTTACAATGATGAAGAACCAGTCAGGTTCTATGACTTGTATAACAACCAGAGCTATGTGACAATCCTAACCATAACTTTTGTTACTAACAAATAAAAACTAAGCATGGAGTGATTATTAGTACACTGGAAGCCTTCCTACTCACATACTCAGGTACCATGAGAGGGAAAAGATACCAGTTTCGACCATTTGTTCTGATGAAAGGCAGGCACCTACAAGGAAGCCTGATAACTTGGCAGGGAGCTAAATGTATGTTCTGGGTAATATCAGGTGCCTAATTCCGGTGTGCCTTGACAGTCCAGGTAAGAAGGAGGAACGCTTCTACAACTATAACCCTTACAGTCCGTCCTCTAATACATGCCAACTCTCTTCACGATGATGTGATGCATAGCAAAGATATGAACAACAGCAGTATTCCCCAAGTCAGTAATCTCTCCAGTGGCTCAAGACAAAAACCTTAAAGTCAGAATTGACTCCTCTTTTCTCACACCCCACAGCTGATTCTCTCAGCTCTACCCTCAAAAATATTCATATTACAATCACTTTTACCACCTCCATCCTGGTCCAACTCCATGAATTTCTCACCAGAATTACTACAAGAGCCTCCTAAATGATCGCCCAGACTCTGTCCTACACTCTATTCTCAACACAGCATCTAGAGAGAATCTTTTAAAATGTAAGGTAGATCGTACTTACCTCGCTCAAAACCAGTGGTTTCTCCTCTTAGAGTGAAAGTCAAACTCCTTGCAATAGCCAATAAGGTCCTACATGATCTGGTACCCTAGATCTCATCTCCTACTTCTCCTCCCTTCACTCATCTCATTCCAGTCATCCTGGTCTCCTTGCTATTCCTCCAATATACCAGACACACTTTTTAAAAGTATCCTTGAGCTTGCTGTTTCCTTTGTCTGGACGGCTCCTACTTCTGAGACATGTTCAGTGTCAACTTAGTCAGGCCTTCCCTAACTACTCCATCCACACTGCCACTCCTCACCCCTTTACACCACACACACACACACACATACACACACACACACACACACACACACACACAATCCCTATCCTCTGCTTACTTGCTTTTCTCCTTAGCATTTATCACCAATGTCACTGTATATTTTACTTATTTGTTTACTGGCTGTTTCCCCCATCTTGAAGACCTAAGAGCAAGACCTCTGGTTTGGTTTTGGGCACTGCTTCATCTCATTCCTCTCCTCCCCACCCCACCCAGGACCTACAACAGTGTTGGGCACAGAGTATGCATTCAGTAAGTGTTTACTAAATAAATAATTGGGTGAATGAGTAACATAGTGGTTAAGAGCTCTGGATCTAGCGATCAAATTTTGGGTCCACTACTTAGTAGCTGTACAAACTTAAAGTTACAAATTTCCCCAAGATTCCTCGTCTATAAAATGGGGTTAGGATTCTCCACCCGAGGAGTGGAGATAAACACATATGGAACTCAGCACCGTACTTAAGAGTTGACTCTCAATAGCGTTACTAACGTTTTTCTGAAAGTTAGTTATTTTTCATTATTACCAAATAAAGTCTTCGTGTTCGCGCGCGCGCATAATAAAGGAAAGCGCGTAGGCAAACTGAAGAGGATGCTTGACTTTCAGAAAGAGATCCCTATGGGCTCATCGAAAGCAGAGCCAGTGTGGAAAAGAAACTCAAGTCCCACTCCCTTCTCTTGGGGACAGGTAAAGAATTATAAACGATTCCCTGATGCTTGGGTGTCCCGGCCCACATCCCGCTCCCAGGACACCCCAACCCTAACCTCGATCGCCCCGCCCCCTACCTTTCTCAGTGACCACGAAGCACTGCTTCACCGGCCCCACCTGACTGAACAGTTCCTCCAGCTGCTCACTGCGGGCCGAAGGAGGGAGGCGACTCACAAACAGGGTCAGCCCGGCCATGAGGCCGAGAAGCCGATGCGCGTGAGGCCGCGAGCGACTCAGAGCAGAGCACGCGAGTCAAAGCGCCGACTTTGGCAGGCGGAACACACCAAGTTGCCGGGAGACTCCGGAAGTGGTCGTTACTCAAAAGAGTCCGGAGGGAAACGTGGTAGGAAGACAAAAAACATTCCGGAATGAAAACCCGGTGACTCCCGGGGGCGGAGCTTCGTGAGGGGAGCAGAGCCAAGTGACGACCCCCACCCCTGTAGGGTGACTGGGCATGGCTGGTTCCCACCCTTAAGATATCATCTCCAGGAGACCGATCCCAAATTCATCAGGGCGGGCTGGAGCTGGTTTCGCTCCGGGCCTTGCTCAGGATCTGACATATAATGGATGTTTAATAAGTATTTTCTGACGTGCCACCTTAGACTCCCCATTACGTACTTAAAACGTAGCCAGACTGCGCGTAGACACAAGGACATCACTGCAGCAATTGGACAATTCTCGTGTTCGCAGAAAATAGGAGGCATCTGTCACACTGTAACAGATAACTGTAATTGTGCTTGTAACACTTCACAAATGATAGCTACTAACGTACACAGGCACAGATTGCACACAATCTTTGTTTTGATTAGTGCCTACTGAGGTATATGCCAAGCACTACAGATAAAATTGGCAAACTAAGAAAAGACAGGAGCCCTGCCCTCCTGGAGAATATAGTCTAATGCAGGTAGACAAACATTAATCCCAAGAAAATCTTACAAATAAATCACAGATGCACACAGCAAGATCACATGAGAACACACTGAGACACAGGGCAAGTTAGGGTTATTAGGCAGTTTCAGGGACAGTGCAGGAGGGGACCTCTGAAGCCTCCTTAAGACCTGCACTGTCCCTGAAACTGCCTAATAACCCTAACTTGCCCTGTGTCTCAACACTAAAAACAAACATAACATTTCACTTATACCCACAAACCTAGAACAGCCTCTGGATGTTCCTGTTTTCCTTCCCAGTTGAGCACAGGAACTGACCTGTATGTGAGACTGGCATATGTACTGATATTGTAATGACCCTGACTGATAAAGATGTTATATGTATTGACATTGTAATGTCAGTGTCATCAATGTGGACGTGACCGATGCAAAGGTGGGGGTAATTGCAGTAGAGCAACTTAAGTTATCAATAAAAAGTAACCATTTGTTTAAGAAGATATTGAATAAATAGACATGCAAAAGGCAAGGACAGATTAAAAACCTGGCTGTGTGGAACAGTCCTGCCTATGTCAAAATTAACAAGTGGTTATAATAAGATACCTCTGAAAAGTGGCAAATATATAGGCACCAAAGTTGAAGCAATCTGAGATGCTTATGGACTCCATGACCATGATCTGAAGTCTTTTCCAGAGTTTGATGAGAGCCCCTAGGGACTCTGGCCCTGAGAAGTGGCACCCCCTCCTCCATTCAAAGGAAAAGCTTCCAGGAACTGTCTGGTCTGTGTCCCACCTACTCTACATTGCCAGTCTCCTAACTTTGCCAAGAAGTTTATTATCTTCCCCTCTTTTCTGGCTGCTGATTTAATTGTATGCTTACATTATTATGTGATTTCTCCCAATAAATTCATGTTGTAGTTATATACCTTTGGCTTGAGTCATAAGTAAAACCCTCTTGGAAGTTAGCACTGAGGAGCTCCCAAACCTGGTAAAATAAAGACTGCAGCACCCTGCAGAACATCCAGCTGGGAAAAAAATACACATGCATTTTTAAAATATTTTTTAATGATAGTAACCTGATCACATGGTAGGTAGAAAATTCGAAGAGTACAATGAAATGTAAGTTTCCCTTTCTCCTCAAATTCCGTCCACTTTCAATACATTTTGGATGGTGGATGATTGGTTAAGTGATGAGGAGAAAAAGGAAAATGCCAAACATCAGATTTATGAAGCCCTAGTTCAAAGGGAGCAATAAATGCTTAAAAGAAAATACCAGTTATTTTTAAACTGCTTCAGTAGAAGAAGTATCGAAATACAAAACAGATTTTGAAAGGTATGGAGTTAATCCCATCTAGAATAAAGAGAGACAAATAGACAAAGTAAATGAGACGTGTCATTCGAATAAAGTTGGTTTGGGACTTCACATTCCTCCCTTTTTCCTCTTCTTTGCTTGTCCTCTCACCACCTTAGAAATCAAAATTCTGGAGGGAGAGGGAGAACAGGGGCAGGAGAAAGCACAAGGGACTACGGTGGGGAACTAAAGGTGTTTTGGTGATGAGTGCCTATGGTGACTACACGGGAAGGGGGAGATCCTACACTTACAAAATACTAACAGTGATGTAAACCAAGGATACTTCAATTTAAAAAAAAAATTTTTTTTAATCAAAACTCTATCCCCAAAGACTAAGTGGCAAACTTCAGGGCTATAGGGAAGATTTCCCAGTCTTGGCTGCAGTGTGCACAGGGGAAGAAACCCTGAGTTGGTTTTCTTTTGAGCCCCCTCCAAATACTAAGTTTTAAATACTTTGGACCTCAAGCTTTTTTAAAGGACAAAACAAAACTCTGTTTGAATGCCCATCAGGGGGCAGCAGTTGCCCACAATGTGGAAGCGCTCTATGCCCCTGGGGGAGGATTACAAGGCAGCTGACCCTTTCTACAATTAACAATTGCAGATCTGACTTCCCCTTTCAGTCTCCCATCCTCAGCCCCAGTCTCAGCCCCATCCCCTCCTAGCTGTTTATCTCAGGAAGGCCATGTGGTTCTTCCATGTGAAATATTTGTTCATCCATCTACCCCGGACACACGCAGAGTTCTTTATTAAATAGCAAGAGTCATGATCCTCTGCACCACACCAGAGACAGAGCTTCCAGGGGAAATAAACTGGCAGCCTGTTCTCATCTATCATGGTGCAAGAGCTCCAAAAGAAAGCACAGGAGGCCTGGGCGAGGCTCAGCCAGAAACAGCATCTCCCAAGTCCTCTGCCTGATTCCATGACCCCTTGCAAGCCAAACCTTCTTATAATACCTTATACATGATATTCTTACAACAGTAATTACTTTTGTTATTGTGATTATTTATGATTAGGTGTTTATGTCTGCCTTCCACAGAAGAACTTTCAACTTCATTAGTTCAAGGCTAGTGTCTGCCTTGGTTCACTTCTCTATCCCTAGCACCTAGCACATTGCAAATATTCAATAATATATGTTAAAGAGGTTCTCTTGTCCCCTTCAGTATTAAGAATGGAACCAAAGGGGGCCTCCCTGGTGGCACAGGGGTTAAAGGCATCACAATGTCAAGCTATCCCAGCCACTGCACCACAAGTTTGACCCCCAGGCAGAGAGGTGACCCACATGGCACAGCAGACCTCTCCTGTCTCACCCACTGCTCCCCTCAGCAGTGTATTTCAGTAGATCTGCCTGTTCTGCTCCCCACTTTCTCTGGTGAATCATTTCACACACATACCCCACACCTCTGGCTTACACCCCAGTTCTTGTATGCATAAATAAAAATAAATCTTTAAAAATAAAAAAGAATTGGAACTGAAGAGTGTGTGCATTAGGTTCTACAAAGGCTTCTGGGGAAAACTGCTTTTGGGGAAGGATCTGGTGGCTTGAGACAAAGAACAGGATTGTCTCACAACTTGTAAGCCTCTTTATAAAGTCAAAACAGAGGGAATTCTTGCTTAGGAAAATCAAAGAAAGGTTGGAGCTGGTGAGGACTGCCCTCCTCCCTAAATCATCACCAGCCCCATCAGAGTTCCAGAGAGAAAAGGTGTGGGAGGAGGGGGGGCTGAGGGTAGGTGGGGCTTGGGCTGCTTGTGGGGAGATGTATGCATGTCCCCAAGACCCTTGATGGGAAATGAGTGACAGTAGCTAGCAAGGGTTTGGGTGAGGAAGAGATGGCAAAAAGGAGATTAGTTGGAGCAGGAGCAGATGAGAGGCAGATGAAAGGCTAAGTGAGGAAGAGAGGAAACCATTTCTCCGGACAGCAAGCTCTCCTTCCATGACACAAAGCGGCTCCGATCACTGGACCACTCGAGCCACTAGGACACCAGTGAGAAATGCCCATAATTAGGAGGCTGGCAGTTCTCTGGGCCTCAGCCCAGAGCAATAATGGATCAAGAATTTCTGGCCAAGCTGTGCCAGGTGATGGAGGAGAGAGTCAGAACCTCTCCAGTCCCATCCCTCAGCCATGCCTGCACTGTCCCCCTCTCATTTCTCTTCCCTACACCACTCCTTTCCCTGGATGCTCCTCTCAGCCATGACAGAGCTTTCTGTGCAACAACAGTGGTGCTCTCTCTCACTAAACCAAGGGCCCTGCTCTGGCTGAGGGCCCCATCCCACCCCCTCCGGGCCTCCCAACTACTTCCCTCTTGGTGCCCTGGCCTCCCTTCTCAAATCTCTGTGAGCTGATGGGCAGAGTTGGAAGAAGAACCACTCCAATTCCTGTTTTTCCACTTTAAGCTCTGTGTGTGTGTGTGTGCGTGTGTGTGTGTGTCCCTGTGGCGTGTGGGACACCTGCCAATACAGAGTTTCATTCTCAAACCTAATCTAAGACACTGCGCTTTAGTGCTACTATGCATTTACTGCATTTTAGTCAAATGACAAATGCGGACTTCAGAGCTCGGAGCCAAGGGCAGGATTACAGAGAGCCTGGCGGTGATGTGCTCACGCTCTCTGCACTGTGAGTTCTGCTTTGCTAGGTAGGATGGGGGTTGGGGCCAAGCTCTCTCCAGGGAGGCTCCGCACCTATGGGAGACGAGTGTTCTGCAGGGCAAGGAGGATGAGAGCCTACTCCTCAAGAGGTTCTGCTGGTGGAGGAAGAAGGTAGCTTTCTCTGTGAATTTCAAACCATTGGGACATGACAGGGGGTTGCTTGGCTCCCAGTGCAAAGAGATCAAGCCCTGGAAGTGTGTATCAGCAATTTCCATGAGGTTTTTTTACCACTAACTGGTCCCTAGTCAGCTGTCCACCCGGACCTGAAACCTGGTTCCTGGGAACACAGACATTTCTACCAAAGATTGGAGTTTCTGCCTCAATTCTCAGGACTGTGCTCCATCCCTAAAGAGGGAGTGGGCTTCAAGGGGCTTCTCCCTGTACCCTCACTCATCCCAATCACAAAAAAAAAAAAAAAAAAAAATCCCTAGCAGTCAGGAGCCTGCCCACTGCGGTCTGAGAGGGACCCACCTCATCCAAGTGCTACTTCCCTTTCCAGATCTGGCAGAATTACGGCTGCTGTTGCCTCGCCTAAGCTTTTCCAAGAAGGTCAGACCTTTCTCCTCCGAAAATATTTTATTGATAAATTAACTCTGAAAGCGCTCACCTCCCACCCAACTGCTGTGAAGTCTCCTAGATGGGGCATGAACCCTTCCGTGGGGAAGGGTCCCTTGGAGGACAGGGAGTCTCACTCCCGAGGGGTTGGGGTTCCTGGGTAAGGCAGAGGTGGGTATAGGGACTGAGGTCAAGCTCTTCTGAGGACAGCCCCTCTCACTCAGCACCAGGTGGGGAGTGGTCCGGAGTGGAGCACCTTGGAGCTTTATTGCTGGTGAATGCCAAGGGAGGTGGGATCCCTGCCAGCCTCGAACTGTTGCTGCAGGAATCAGTGCCCAGGGCTCCAGAGAAGGTGGCGCTATTACCCAATCAACAGAGCCAGGCTCCTGCCCCACCCGCCCAGGGCCCTCTGGATGGGGAAGGAAACCTGGAGAGGTATCTGAGCCAGGCAGGATTGGGGAAGGCTTACAGTGTTCAGGTCTCGGGCAGAGCAGGCGCCTGAAGGGACGTGTGTGGCCGGGGCAGCGAGAGAGGGCCACCTCTTCACAGGTCTATGGTGTCGCTGCCCATGCTCAGCTCATCTATCTGTCGGCAGGCGTCCAAGAATTGCTCCTGCAGCAAGGCCTCTTCGGCCTGCAGCTCAGGAACAGGCTCTGGGGAGTCGTGAGAGGGTGGGGACAGGGCCTGGTAGGATCCAGAGGCCGGGAGGCTAGGGCTGCTTCCTGAGGGCCGAGGGGGGCTGAGGACACAGACCAGGGGACAGCGCGGAGGCCTGTCTGGGCTGGAACACAGCAGCATGGACGAGCTGTCCCTGGAGAGTCCGCACAGCGAGCCAGAGGAAGCGCTGCTGCCCGCGGGCCAGGCCTCGGGAGAGGGAAGCTCAGGGAGTGCGGAGGAACCAGGCACCTCCTCGGACCTCCCACTCGGGCTGGCCTCCTTGGCCCCCAGCGAGGCTGTGCGGTAGAGACCGAGGCCAGGCAGGGCTTCCCCAAAGGCAGGACCCTGGAAAAGGCCGGGCAGCAGAGCCTCGCTGCAAAGGGCTTCCTCGATGCTGCGCCGCAGGTTGATTGGGGAGGGGGGGCGGAAGTCCACGGTGTCATCGCTGCAGGGGGAGGAGGCCGGAGAAGGGGCCAGGTTGGCAGCCTCACCATCCAAGCCCCGACAGGCCCCTCCCTGAAGCAGGAGGTCAGGGCCCGGCCCGGCCAGGGCGCACAGCTGCAGCAGCTCCGTGTCCCCACGCGCGATGGCGCTACCCAGAGGTTCCTTGGCCCGGGGCCCGGGGACCCAACCTCCGGGCAGCAGTGGGGCTGCGTGTCCAGGGGAAAAACGGAAGAGCTTGGCCCAGCAGCGGGGCGGGACGCGGGGGCTGCAGAGCGCAGGATAGAGGCCCAGCAGCGCCAAAGGGAGCGCGACGCCCACCTCGCCCAGGCGCAGGCCCAGCTGGAAGGCCCACCAGGGCCAGGGCCCCTCCAGGCCAGGCTGGCCGCCGTAACCGAGGGCGTGCAGCACCTCATAGCCCTGCAGGGCCCCGCTCAGCAGCCCGAAGGTGCCCGCCACCGGGGCCGTGCGCGCCGCGCGCCGCCAGGACTCCCGCGGGGCGAAAGGGCTGCGCGCCTGCGGGAGAGGGGTGGCCCCCTTGAAGCCAGACCCTCCCAGAGGCGCCCCTGCTCGCCGTCGCCGACCCCCCAAGCAAGAGAGCACCAGCAGGAGCCCGGAAAGGAGGGCGGCGAGGAAGGCGTGCAGCCCGCGGGAGGCGAGCCGCAGGGGCCGCAGCGGGCGGTGGACGGCGCTCCCCAGAGCCGCGGCGGCCGCCAGCCCCAGGCCCAGGAGCAAGAGCGCGGCCAGGCCGGCGGGACACCGCGGGGGGCGAGGCCGGGCCAGCAGCAGGCAGGCCAGCCCCAGGCCGGCGGCCAGGCAGGGCAGCGGGAGGTCCTGCAGCAGCAGCCAGGCGAGCGTGGGCAGCCGGTCTCCGTGTCCGTAGGCGTCGTAGAAGAGCGGGAAGGCGCGCGTGGTCCCAGCCGAGAGCAGGAGCAGGTCCAGCAGCGCCAGGCAGGGGGCGCCGGGCGGGCAGCGCCAGGGCAGCAGGGCCAGAGCCAGCAGGGCCAGCAGGGCCACCAGGCCGAACAGCGCGCCCACCCCGTACACGTGAGCTTCCCAAGCCAGCCCCCAGCGAGCCCTGGCTTCTGCCCAGTCGGCCTCCAGGGTCAGGAAGAAGAGAGGCAGCGGGGCTGCAGGCGGCTGCGCATCCTGTCCTGGCATTTCTCCAATGCTGCAGGACGCTGGCCCACACTCTGGCACTGAAGGGTTCCCGAGGCTGGCAGGAGAGGGGTCAGCGAGGCCAGAAGTGGGGAGGGCGGGATCTGTAGGCGAGGAAAGTTTGTCTGAGGCAATTGCGCTGTTCTCTCCCTGCACACCGGGCTAGGTAGCCAGAGTCCTTACAGCATCCAGGATGCACCTGTCTCAGCCCTTCTACCCAAAACCTCAAGCAGTAGTTTCAGCTGCCATTCCCCTGGCCCCCACCTACCCAGCCCAAACTCCTGGCTTCAATTCCTTTCATCACTCTGATTCTACTGAAAAAAGGGTTTTTCTTAAGATATCACAGAATTTTACCCCTGGAAAGAAATGTAGAAGCCCTCTAGTTCAATGTTCCCTCCAGAAAGAAAGTCTTACACGAGTAAGGATTTGTTTGCTTTGCTCACATCTGCATCTACATGCCTAAGATGGTGCCAGCCCAGAGCTAGCACTCAGCAGATATCCTTTCATCAAGTACATCCGCTTATTTACTGAGGTGCTGCAGAGAGGCAAAGGGACCAAGGTCATAACTGTCAGAGCTGCAACTAGAATCCAGACCTGAGTGCCCGTCTGACCCCTTTCCCAGGTTCAGGAGCCTGTTCCTAACAGTCATGTGCCGGTCTCTTGTTCTGACCAGCCCTGAACACCTAGCGAAGTTAAATGAGGACCCACTCGGGAGCTCCTGCCGTGCCTTGCCCCCCATTTTTTGTTCTCTGGATGCCCCTGTCCAACCTACTTCTGCAAAGTGGATGAGTTTGTGTGGCCTTGGTGGACTCTGCAGGGAGACAGGGAGACCCTGGCCGGGAGCTCCAGGCTGCAGCAGCCTGTCCCCGCAGGCCCCCTTCCTGCTCACTGGGGGGACGCATGCAGCTCTCAGCTCTGCTCTTCCAGGTCTGCTTCTCACCGAGAGCCTGGGGAAACCCCCTCCCTCACCTCTGTCCCGAAGCACTACAGCAGCTAGAACAAACCTCCACATGCCCAAGAAGCCAGAAAATAGGCAAAAGACAGGCACAGCTCAGGAGTCAGGAGTTCTGAACTTGAAGTACTGCTTCTGGGGGCAGGGCACGTCCGGTATACCCAGCACTGAGCCAGGGAAGAGACCCAGCTTCTGCCTTAGAGGAATCCCCCTGACCTCATTGCCTGCCTTCCTCTTGAGGCTCCAGAAGAGCCCAGAAGATAGTGTCTTGCTAGCATCCCTCTCCTGAGCAGGCCACTCTCACACTGGCCCTGTGGCCTTCTTGACCTCAGAGCGCGGAGCAGATGCGATGTCACCCTGAGTGATTGGTGGGGCAGAGCTGGCTGGGGAAGAGTCAGGCAGGGGCCAGCTGGATTTATGGCAGTCAGGCCTGATTATCCACCAGCTGCCCAGATCAAAGGGCTGTGGCATCAATCGCCACCCTGGATGCCGGAAGCTGCAGCTCTGTTTGGTGGCCTGGCTCCCTCTCTCCACTCCCCGCTCTGGAGCCTGGAGGTTTGCTGCTCTTTGTAAGGATGACATTTGAAATACTTAACCACTGGAAATGGTACAAGTGCCCACAAATCGGAGCAGGTGTGGGGCGGCTCTAAGTTCAGGGGGTATGTTATGTTAACCTGCACAACTGTCCCGGGTGTACTGGCTGAACAGAAGCTCTGTCCAAGGTGAAGGGGACCTAATAGAAGAGAAGCCCTAGGGTCCAAGGTTAACCACATCTAGGTTAAAGGAGACAAGGAGACTCCCTTTGTCCCCTAACTTCCTGACAACTTCCCACACCTGCCACTGGCATCAGCAAGTCCCCTTGGCCTTCTCTCCAGAAGGCCTGTATGCTTCCTGGGTTTCTCAAAGAGGAACAGCTGAGAAAAGGCTGGATCCCCTCAGCCTTCAGTGAGGAGGGGGAAGGAGGGCGGGGCTGCCAGCTGCTGAGCGGGGCTGCCTCTGACACTGTCCAGACTCATTAAACCTGCCTGGCCAGTGCTGTCACCAAGGCTGACAGACCACCAGACAGCATCCTTCCCCGGAAGCCACAGAGCCTGTGCCCCATCTTACTGCTACTGGGCTGGTTAGGGAGGAGATGGCAGGCTTTTTGCCCACATGCCTAGCAGTGCAGTGACCACTCAGGAGGGAGGGAGAGTCAGGTGCTATGTTAAGCCTGGGGCTGGAGGAAGTGGGGGGATTTATGTTTTCCTAGTGTGGGGTGGCTGAGTGGGCTCACAGCTATAGCACACCCTTTGCAGAGCATAACTGGGCCTGGAGGTCCCTCTCCCTAGCTCCCAGAACCCACCCCAGAGCAGTGTGCCCTCTGCCCTGTGGGTTACATGTTTTCCCATCACGTATTGGGGGCAGGGTTTGAGAGGCAGGGTCTGAAAGTGCTTTGGGGATGCAGGAAGAAATGAGGCAAGGTTAGCAGCTACTATCTAATGAGAGTCTCTTTGTGCCCAGGCTCATGCCAGGGCTCACATGATCTGGACGCTTCACAATAACAAAATATTAAACTCTAGATATGGGAGAAAAAAATTAGGCTTAGAAAGGTTAAATAACCTGCTCAGGGTCACCCAGCTATTTAAGTGGTTTGGGATTCCAACTCCTAAGCCCCTGAGCTCCTCTGCACCTGAGCTCCTCTGCACCCCAGCTCCTCTACACATATGTCTGAAAAGTTTCCCTTAAAAAAGGATGGTGCCTGCTGGCTCCAGGCCTCCACCTCAGTGTCTTCCCAGTGAGGGGTCCTGCACCGCCCAGGCCTGACAACATGTCAGATCAGATCAGAAGGGAAGGGAGAGCACCCTGAGGTTGGGGGAGCACGGTGGGCAGGACAGGCTGACTGGAGGGGAGGGTGGGGTTAGTGGTGAGACTATGGAAACATGGAGTTCCTGTTTCTGTGTGTCCCGATACATCTGTCTACATCCTGCTCCGTCTGTGATTGCACCTCTCCCTGAGGACCATTACTTAAGTCCCCAGTAGCACTTGTTCTCAGACCATTAATACAGATCTCCATGGTGAAGATGAAGAGTATGGTGATTATGATGAGGATGACAATGAAAGAAGAGGGTCCCAGAATGCCAGTGAGTAGCAGCATGCAGTTAAGCACTCGGTAAATAACTGTCATGTTCAAAGGCATGGAACACGTACCTTGTGGTGCTGTTACAGGTGAGACAGGGCTTAGGGAAGCAGATGGGTCCGGTGGGCTTGGACTTGGGAGCTTTCTCTCCAGAGGGGCTGGGGACTGGGACAGAGTGGTATCAAAGAACCCTGCAAAGGGAGCACAAGAGGCTCGAGTGCCACCCTACCATTGACCTTGGCCTCTGCGGCTTTGAAGGAAATCCTATCTTTCCCCAGAGTTTGCCCTAAGGGAACCACAGCACCAGGAGTTGTAGCCACAAATATACCATGAACTAAGCTATAGGGACCAACCCAGACTCAGTATGGCAAAGAGGGTATTCCCCATGGGAGTGTGGGCCATGTCCCAGGGCCCGGGAGAAGCAATGTGAGCCTCCCATGAGTCACCAAAGAAAGAGAAGTGCTGGTTAGGCCCCTAGCACAGCGCCTGGCATGTGAGGTATTCCATAAATGTTTGTTGCAATGAAATAAACACTCACCGGGAGCATCAGAAATTCCAGAGGCAGAGCTTGGGGCTAGCGATGTGGTTGGGCCTGAGGGGCTCAGGCCTGAGAAGTTCCGCAGTGGGGACAGAGTAGTGCCAAAGAACCCTGGAAAAGGAGTCAGTCTGAAGCTTCCTCCCACCTGCCAGGACTACCTTGCAAGAGCTGTGTTAGAGATGCAGTGGCTACTCACCAAAGGGTCCCAGGCGCCCAGCAATCTCTGCCAGGCTGGCCCGCAGGCTGGGCAGCAGAGGAAGTGTTCGGTGCCCAAGCGTGGGGGCTGCGCCTGCTCTTAGTGCAACATCAAACTTCAGCTCCAGCTCACTTTGGGGGGGCCTAGGAGCACTGGATGGGGGTGCTGTAGCCATCAGAGCAGTGTCCCAGGTCACAGTGCTCATCCCTTGCTGATTGGGAGCAGTGGGCTGGTCAGTGGGTGCAGAGAGGGGGGCTGTGGACTGGAGAGGCAGGGAGGAGGCCCAGGGGGTAGAGCTGCCTTCAGCAGAGCCCCATTCTGGAGGGGAGTTGCCAAAGGAACCCACCAGCCGCTCCCAAAGGGGGTCAGTCCTTAGTCCACTGGCCACCTCTTCCTCTGGCTCCTGACTAGACCCAGGAGAGACCTGGGTTTCTGTGACAGGGTTCCCCCAGGCAGCGGCAGGTCCACGAAGGTGCAATTTGAAGTTAAGTCCCAGGTTGAGAGACAGCATAGAGGTCTCACTCTGGGGTGGTGGAGTCAAAGTGGTGAGAGGGGCACCTGGGACGGAGGAGGCAAGCTGGGGGCCCACGGGAACAGCAAGCAGGACCCAGCAGAACAGCCCCAGACAGCCATGCCCTGCCATGGCCCACCCTGGGCGGCGGAGGCCTCAGGGGACTGGGTTCTTCAGCACCTTTTAAGCGCCAAGGTCCTGGAAAGAGGAAAGGCACTGTGAGCCCTGGCCACCTTCCTCGTCCTGTCCTGGGATCAGGCGCCCCAGGGAGGCATCTGATCACAGAGAAGGTGGAGGGCCAGGGCGCCAAGGGTTCTGTCCAATTCCTTCACCATCCAGGTGCCAGCACAGCAATCTCCCCTGTAGTCTCCTCATCCAGTAAAGGCTCCCTCTCCCTAAAGCCCTGCCTCCCCCACCTGCCCCATCAGGGACTGGGGTCTGACCACAACCAGTTGCCCTCATCCGTGACTGATAGCGAGAGGGGGTGTACTTGACATCCAGATTCAGATCCTTTCCTCCCTCTCTTCTCTCTATCCTCCAATATTTCCTGAGGCCTACTATGTGCCAAACACTCTTCTGACAACACAACTGTGCACACACTAACCCTCAGGGATGAGTTTTATCCCACCCCCACCTCCAGCCACAATCTAAGATGCTGGCCCTCTCACTCACTAAGACCTGGGAGCACAGACCCGCCAGGGTAAGGCCCAGGGCTGAGTGATAGGCAGAGACAGAGGTGGCTGGCCCAGCCAGAGGAGCAGGTGGGGGGGCCCTGGTCTGGCATAAGCCCTTTGCTTTTCCAGGGGCTCAGCCTGCTCCCTTCCCTTAAGCCCTAGGAGTATTGGGGGAGGGGCAGATTGGCCACCTCTGCCTTCCTGGGGAAGACCAGCGAGCAGGCAAGCTGGCCCGGGACTGCTGCAGGGCTCTCCCACCTCTCCCAGAAGTGCCCCCTCCATGCACACACATCTGGAGGGGGGAGGGGGTGATGAGTCAGGGACACACGTGCACCCCACACCCTTACATCATGCACACACAGCCACACCTAGCACTCATGACACACTCACCCACTCACCCTTCGCACACCCCTGCGTGTGTGTGTGTGTGTGTGCGCGCACACACACACACACACACACACATCACATTCAGCCCTGTGGAGCCCCTTCCTTCCTCCATGGGTTCAGATCCAAGCTCGGTGTGAGCTCCCAGCCCGCCCCTCCCTCCCTCCCGTGCTCTCTCTCTCTCTCTCTCTCTCTCACTCACTCACACACACACACACACCCTCACAGACACATAGTATATGCAGTCACAGAGAGGCACACACACCCTTACACACACATTCACACATATTCACACTCCACATCCAGGCTCACATCCCACACCATCACCCCCCTACACACCCACCCATCCCCACAGGCACGCGTGCGCGCCCTTGCACACACACACACACACACACACACACACACACGCTCCCCCTGCCCCGGCAGCCGACCTGCTCCTCGCGCTCCCTCCCGCAGGCGGGTCTCCGCTGCCAAGTCCCCGAGGAGGGGCAGCCCCGGAGCCCAGCTGGGCCCCGCTCCGCGGCGTCTCGGGGTTCTCTCCCGCGCCCGCGGTTCTGGGCACGCGCCGCCGGGGGTCTGCCCGGCGCGGCTGGCGGCCCGCAGCGCGGTTCCCGGGGGGCTCGGCGCTCGCTCCCCGCGGCGCCGCCTCCCGCCCGCGAGCCCGGCTCCCCGGCAGAGGCGCCCGCACCCCGGCTCCGCGGCAGCGGCTCGACCGCCCTCCTCCCGCGCTCCCGCCCGCCCCCTCCACCCCCCGCCCGCCCGCCCCGGGCCGCGGGCCGCCCCCCACCCGGGCCGCCCGGCGGGCGCGCGCGCAGCCCCGAGAGCCGCCCCTGCGCCCCGCGCCCCACGCGCGCTCCTTCACCCCGCGCGGCCGGTCGGCCTCGGCGAGCGCCGGCGCCTCGTCCTCAGCCTGGCGCGGGCAGCCGCGCTCTCCCGGGGCGGCCCATCGCACGGCCACTCGCGCGCCTTCCCGGGGACACACGCCGCGGGCCGGGCACCGCGCGCGCACTCGTGCGCACACGCACACGCACGAGCTCACACCCGACCGCAGGCTCCGGACGCCACCCCACCCGCCCCGAGGAACCACCGGGTGTAAAAGTGGGAGAGGAGCCGCTGCGCCTCTCCTCTCATGGGTCCTCACCTGCACCCTGCGGTTGTCCCCGCTGCGCAGAGAGGTACCTCGAGGCCCAGAGAAGTAATGGGTCTGTCAGTCCCTCGGCTGCCGTGTGAGAGGGCGTTCAGCACTTACCCGGCTACACGGGAGTGCCCCCCACACTTCGCAGGTGAATTGCGACTGTCAAAGTGAGGGTAACATTTCTTTTTTTAAAAAAGATTTATTTATTTATGCATACAAGAGCTGGGGTACAGGCCAGAGGCATGGGGGAGTGAGAGGATTCACCAGGGACAGAGTGGGGAACAGAACAGGCAGGTTGACTGAAGTACACTGCTGAGGGGAGCAGAGGGCAAGTCAGGAGAGGTCTGCATCGCCATGTGGGTTGCTCCCTGGCCAGGGATCGAACTCATGCTGCAGAGGTTGCAGATAGCTTCATAGGTTGCGTCTTAACCCCTTGCGCCACCAGGGAGGCCAGAGGGTAACATTTCTTTTTGCTAGAACGGGTCTCTTGAAAAAATTTTTAAGATTTTCTGCCAGAAAGAATGGTGAGCCCAGCTCTTGTAAGAGATGAATGGCAACTTGTTCCCACTAAGAGCCAAGAAGACAAGAGTGAAGTCAAAGGATGAGGGTCCTAACAAGCCTATCTAGGTGTGGCAATGACTGAAGAACTGGGGTCACTGTGCACCCTTGGTGGAGCCTGTTATGCTGTTCAACAACTGATTTAAATAGTAGTAGCTCATTTATGTCGTTTTGAGCCTTTAGATTCCTTTGAGACTTCTTCCCCAAATAGCACAGTATGCACAAGTCCTGGGAGAACATGAAACACAAGAGGCTCCTTGGACCACATAAAACTACCCCTCAAAAGTCAGACATCCTACTGTGTGCCGGACACTTAACTGTGTGTCTCAGTCTCCTCACTTCATCACCCCGAACAGAGAGAAATGACTCACTGAGTTACAGCCTTGGATGTGACCCTGACCTCCCCCACCCCCTTTCCATCTACCATCTCTTTGGTGCTCTGCAAGATGAGAGAGGATGCTTAAAGAGTCACCTAAGGCAGATTCTATCTCAGTTCTAGAGAGCTAGCATAGCATTTTACCTGTGGAAGGTGCTCCATGAATATTTGATAAGTAAATAACGAATGAATGATGCTAGGACTCATATGCATAATGGGGTTACATTTCAGAAAGTCACCTCAGACTCTCCTTACTACAGAAGCCCCCCCCCTCAATTGATGTAGGATAAAATCAGGCCACCCCCCTGAGCCCCTCTTTCAGGAATGTCTACTGATCAAGTCTAGGATTTTTTCTGGGCCTTAAACAAAACACTGCAAAGGGCATTCCCTGATACACCTCCAAGGATCACTATAGGGACCCTCCTCTTGAACCATTTTCCCTCCCCCCCAAGTCCTTTAGGGGCTGCTTGGAAGCTTCCTCTGGAATGAGCCTCTGGTTTTCTCACATATACTTAATAAAGGTTATCCCATTGGAGACATTTTCCTTCAATTCTCCTCATAGAAAGGCTCATTTCCTGCTAATCATGTTCACTTAAATACTTCTAAAAGGAAAGACAGAAATAAACACACCCCAGTATATTAAAATTAGCAATCCCCCATGACCAAGCAGGGTTATTCCCAAAATTATATATTTTTAAATATATTAAGATGGGAAGCTAGTTTTCTGATTTAAGATAATAATTGAACATATACATCTAATTTCATTCAACCCCCAAATGCCACTAAAACTTCAATAAAAAAATTTAAAACAGGAGATAAACCTAGAAGTATGGAGTGAACAAGAAAAAAGACAACAGGCACAAAATTTTTAAAGCAATATGGCAGACAGCCAAGTGGTTACTGAGGGGAAAAAATCCCCAATTGGTAGTAGGGATAACTGAGAGGCAACTTGATTTACTTTGCAAGAGTTTCAGAAAGCACAGAAATTGGCAAAACAGGGACCTCTGGGATTTTGGGGGGGAGGGAGTTTGCTAAAATAGGGTCAGGATGAGAAACAGATCCTCTATCTCTTTCTAACTCCAAGCCACAATTCCTATCCTCACCCAGCCAGAGTGGAGGATTTTCCTCTGAAGACAGTAAGATAGCAGGTAGCTAGATTGGAGAAACTTCAAGCACAGGTATTCACAAAGATACCATTCTGAAAATAAAGGGAATCAAGTGACTATATCATATGGAATGCCAAATGCAGCAGCCTTGAGACTTCTCCTATCATGAGGGCTGGCAGCAGGACCCTTGCCTGGTAGGCAAGGAACTGGAAAACTCTACTCTGGGGTGAAGTCACCAGCCCAAGAAGAAAGAGCTAACAATAATGATACTGGATTTCCCCAATACAACCCAGCCAGATCACCCTACAAATCCAACCTGTGAGCTAAGTTTCTGACTAGCCTCCTTCCCACCCACCCCTGTAACTTTAATCATGATCAATGATTACTAGGCATCAGGGAAAACTTTCTAATGCAGAACAAACAAGACAAAGTAACTTGTAGGAACCAGATTATCAGAGGGGGAAAAAAAGTGTCAAGATGACCATTGTTAATCTACCAGAGAGATCAGAGAAGATACTGTATCCATGAAACAAGAACAAGATGTTATACAAAGGAACATCCAGAGAACAGCAGCAGCACAATCATGTCTTAGAAAATAAAATCATGACAGCAGAAACAATATCTCCCAATAGAAAGATAAGAAGATAAAGTTGATTAACTCTTCCTAAGAAGCAAATATAGTAACAGAGAATATGAGAAAAGATAAGAACATTAGAGAGCAATTCCAGGAATAAAACATCAAAATAATAAAAGTTCTTAAAAAAAAAAAAAAAAAGGAAACAAAGGAACATGAAAAGGAAGAAATCAACAGACTAATTTGAGGACTTTTTCCAGAGCAGAAGGACATGATCATGGTGGTGGGTCTATCAAGTCCTTAGCACCAAAGAAAAATTTTTTAA